GGCCTGGCTAGACTTGTCATCTACAATGGGAACATTTAGAGGAGTCAACATATGTGTCCCTTTTTGTTTAGTCGTTTTGATGGTTTAGATCTACAGAGAATTTTCCGTGGTGCTTTTTTTCCCCCCTGATGGTCTTACATTACAAATTCACAAGGTGAGGCCAAGACCAGCAGCTTTAAGCGCCTGAGTTACATAAACTAAATGAGCCTCTTAATCTGTCCAAAAAACTGTTTTAATGCCCGAAGCTGTTTCATTAATAATTCAGATCCAATAGGTCAACCAGGTATGGATATTTGAGAAATGATTTGCAGTGTTTCTTATTTTCTAACTGCAGGGAGGATCTCAGCAGGAGAAGGCTATTTACTTGCTTTTCACTTTCCTTTTCCCTCATTCTGCTCACTGGTATAAAATCCCCACCAGATTACTGTGAAGGCAATTTATCTCCCCAAACAAACCTCAAAAAGATTTTAAAGCGGTTTGGAACTTTTCCATTACAATGTAATGCTCCTCTTATCTTTTGGTTTCCTCTCCTTTGGTGAAAAAAGGTTGAAATTTCCACCATTGGACCTGAAGGAATGTTCACTGCATCAAAGATATTAAACTTTGAAACTTTAATTGTTCTTTTTCAAACAGTGTTTCATGAGCGTGTTGTCTTTTTTTCCAAATGTCTATGTTGGGTGTTATGCAGTATAAAGGGAATGTAACCTGTGAAAGATTTCCAAACCATAAAGTGTATATTGTTATGCATCCTTCCGTCAGATCATATAGTATTGTATTGCCCCCCATCATATTGTATCATATGGACTTTGTATAACATTTTGTCATATTGTATTGTATTGTAATGTATCACACAATGTGATATTGTTGTATCACGATTGTGTCGTATCATTTCCTGTCATGCATCATATCATACTGTATCACACCATATTATATTGTATCATACGGAATAATATTGTATCATATTATATAGTATTGTATCACATTCTATCATATCGTACACATATTGTATTTTATTGTATCATACTCATTCTGTATCATATGGAATATGTATCATATTGTATCAAATACAGTATAAAATATGTATAGTCTTGTAAAGTGTCAGAGCCATAGACTGTATATACTATGACCAACTTGGTTTCGCCTTCCACCAGTATACGGATTTGAAGCCAAAAAGCTCTCGGTAATTCCGCGTTTTCTCTTCACTTCCTGAAACCAACATTGTGCAGTAGCGTTGTACGCACTCCTCTACTTAAGCAGTAGCATTGTATGCATTCAGCGGGAGAGTCGCTGTGATGACGCTCAGCTCAAACAGCGTATCCCCCAGGTGAGCTACGCAATCTTCATACACCCATAGGTTGTATCAAGGGTCAATCATAGAAAACATGAACCCCCTAAAAAAAAAGACTTGAGCACAAACCCGTCTTAGAATAACTACATGTCAACATCACAACCAGGGGGGAGAAAAATTTATGTTCTGTGAAATAAATTTCTAAAATTTGTCCACAGCCCTATAAAGATTGCTGGTGGAGGCGGGATTTATGACTTATACAGCAGCCCGTCACCAGAGGGTGCTGTTCTCGGAGTGGCTTCACCCAGCAAGGAGGCAGACGGCGTCCATTCTATATACAGTCTATGGTCAGAATATGTTGCATCCCACTGTTATTGTCCTGTCCTATTCTATCCAACTCCATCCAATTACATCATTTCATAATTTATTCAGTCATGCTCTATACCATCTTATTGTATCATACTGAATTGTATACCATTGAATCACACCTGTTTATACTCCCGAGCCTTTTTCATGCATTATATCAGATTAAATCAAATAGTTTCCATTGAATTTTATTGTATCTTTTCCCAATGTATTATACTATACATCATGTTGTGTAGGATCACATCAATTTGCATTGTATCTTATTGTATTATTTGTATTATATCACATTGTATCATGTTGTACTGTATCATAATGTATTGTCATGTCATATCATATCATAGCCTACACTATCTAATCATATCTTATTCTCTAGTTTTATCATATCTGATTGTTTTCTGTTGTTTTGTAATAAACTGTTTCTTATTGAAGTCTATTGAATTCTTTACTATCCAATCCCATTTATTTGTACTGAATCCTATTGTATAGCATCTCAGTGTACCATACCTTGTTTCATCGTCTCATATTGTCTCCTAATTGTTTCCATTGTATTGTTGGATCCCTCGCTACCCCTGTACAGGTGATACTGGTCCAGACCTCTGTTTAAAGGATTTGATTTCTCAGCCCTCACTGTGGTTTCACAGTTGAGAGAATATCCTCTGGGAATTATTTGAGCTGAAAGTGAAGGGGAAAGCCCAGCTTCTCACTGCCCTCTTGACCCCTTTTGTAAATTGATCTATATCAATCACACCTGTCGACTGCAGCTTTCCTCCGAGGGATCTTAGCTCCTGGTGTGGTGATGAGGATAAAATTTAGTGACTTGGATTTAAGTCTCAAGGGTATTTTATATTTATATAACAAGTTACATAAACTTCTAAACACCTTTGGACCACTTATGAGGAGAAATATTTAAATGTCCGTTATTTATTGCATCTTTATTGTGCGGTATTAAATCCTGCGGTAGTATACTGCATCATATATTTTATGCAGAAGCTGAGAAACGTGAACGTGCCCTAATATAATTAAAAACGAGGTCTGAGGCTACACCACACTCTCTATTGCTCAGTCGACCTGAGAACAGTACAACTACAAGCTGGTTGTACATTTTTTTTTTCCTGTGTAGGCAAGTGTGAGATTGTGAAATGGAGGTTTCCAGGGTATTGCACCATCCTTGAGTGAAATACAATATCCAATCTTAAAATCAGCAGTTGCAGGAAAAGATTTGAGTTGAGAATCGTGGCTTCAAGATAGAAAAAGGAGTTGAGCAAGTATAACACGTCTCTGCCCTCTCCTGAGTTAATCTTTGGCATGATCCACTAATGCAGGCAAGAAATAGTTGTTGAAATCTGACTCATCCGCAGATGAGAGGAGCTGGGGGAGTCAGACTTTCAGCACAGTCAAATCTAAAAATAACATTTTTCGATAATGACTGAAAACGTGAGGATTCTATTTGGGACTTTTTAATAACATGCCCGATTCCTGAAAAACTTAACAAATCCCTCATGCATGAATCAAAAAGAACACCAGAGGAGGAGCAAAATATTTTTCTGCTCTTTGTTTTGTTTGCTCAGTTGTCTCACTGAACGCTGTGAATCACAACAGTCCTCTTTTGATCTATAGTGCTTATTAATTCTGGCGTGGGGCAGAGTCTGTTTTGCATAGTGTGGTAAAAAAAAATGGAGCATGCTCTGTTTCGTTTCGTTTTGAGTGAGGATTTTCATCCTGGATGACTGGGGAAGCATCTCGACAATGTCTGTTATGCTGCCGCATGTTCGCCGACAAAGACTGTGACTCACTTCTTATTCAGTCCTGTAATAAGAGCTCTTCTCCAGCTGGTGCTGCAGTCATACCCACTGATATTGCATGAACACTGATAAAACTCAGCCATGTTAAACCTCTAAAACCCTAGAATCAGCTCTGACACAGAGGGATTGGGCTTCATGTAGAGTTTTAGCTCCAACCTGCACAGGACAATTTTGTTCAGACTTACTCACTGTTGGAGACCAGCGATCCCCTGTTTCATGTTTTTTTTAACAGACAGGTCTTAAGAAAACTCTACAAACTCAACTAACGGGAATTCAGTATCTTTGATATTTAAGTATGTTGTAATTAAAGGTGGAGTAGGCAGGAATCTGTTAAAGAAGCATCTTTTTTTGTCAAGTCACAAATAATTAAAGTGATAATTGCAAATGGTTAGAAAATGCTTGACAAATTATCAAATCATATAGCAAGAAGTACTGAATAAACTGAAAAAAGCATGCACAAAACCCAGCATAAAGAATAAAAAAGGTTTATGCTGGGTTTAAGGGCCTGTGTCCACCGGTGGTAGTTTCAATCAATCAGTCTTTACAAATAAGCTGTAATTTTCCCGTCCATCATTTTTACAGCAGCTTTCGTGCTGAATTTTCTGTTAAGGGAAGCAGGTGAAGTCTGTTAAAGCAAAAACACTGTCAGTGGACACAGGCCATTACTGTGAACAAAAAAGTAACTTATCAAGATTTCATGGTGAAAAGGCAAATAGTAATAAAACCAGGTTATCTATGGATAAAACTGAAAACAACTAAGAACAGCAGAGCGGATCAAACTGTTCAAATTCCCCTTGAAGTAATGAATTAGTCATAATAGTGAGTTTAAAGGGACGTTATAAACAGCTTAAATGCTTGGCTAAATATAAAATATGAAACAGATTTACAGATGCAAAGTGAGACACTAGCTGTGAAGAAATGATTATTTACTTGAACACTACCTACCTCATTTCTGTCATTTTTAGCATTTTTTACAAACAGTTTAAAAAGTCAAAGTTATGATCCTTTCACTGGAAAATGTTTGAGTGGTTTCGAACAAAGGCTACTTGATTATATCTGATGTAATTCTGCCAGAAGTCTTGGAGGTCATGATTATAGTCCATCAGTTATACACTTCCTGCCTCTAAAACCTAACCCCTGATTCGTCAGACTGCATGACTGTAACTATCAAACTAGTATAAATGCTCGGTGTGAAATGTCAGTTTGTTCTGTGCTCGTATTGTTCAGGGTGTGAAATAGTGAGTTGAGTGTGGCTCTGCATTTATGCTGGATAACTATGATAGTGACAGCACAAAGAAAGCTGCACTTTCCAGCACTCTGCTATGAGAACACTGCGGCTACAAATTTCAGAGCTGTTCCTCCATCTCTTTCTGGCAAAACCACCTACACTCCATGACTCAGTGTGTGTTTGCCTGCGCTTTAAGGACAACTGAAGTATCTCAATTACTCAGCCAGTTCTCTTAGGATGCAGAGGGCTTTTTTCGGCTTTGAATGCAACTATGAAGCTCCATGTTATATAAACCACAGAGAGGAAAAGAAACAATCTTTGCTTTCAAGAAAGGCCGTCCTTCCTTTCTGATTTATTTGTCATTACATTTGAGCATGTCTTTATTTGCACTATGTACATGTAGCCTTAACACAAGATATGAAAAAAAAAATCCCCAAACATAAATATGAAAAAATGTAATCTTCTTTAATTCGGCTTTGGAGCACAACACAGAGAGAGAGCGCGCCATCACCCAGGCATCCAGCAAATGTCTTTGTCGGGTTGATGTGCGCATCAGCTCATCACAATAAGAAAGAAATAACAACAGCATTGACACCCACATACTGTTGTTACACATTGCACAGTTGCCAGGTTGCCAAAGAAGCTGAATAAAAACACACTGTTTGATTGACAGGCTACAAAACACAAAGCATGTTCATCGTTAACAGCAATGAAACTCTCCGAGTGACGACGGCAGACGTTCAGAGTCCTTCAGTATAGTTACAGTCATGGGCATGGTGAGTGAGAACACTGGTGCGAGATAGGTAGCTCATGAGTTAGCATCGGCAGATACGGTGAAGAGGGTTCAAAGGTCATAAGGTTCAACATAGACAGTGTGATAACAGCTCATAGGATGACTTGAAACTGAATTCAGTGGATGTGAAGGTGTGTTCGATCAAACGTAAAGAGGCATGGTAATGTTAGGGGAAATTTGCAGCAGGTAATGCAAATTTAGATCCTTATTTATGCAATCGACGGAACCTAAATATGCATAATCACAAAAGAGTGCAGCCTCTATTTTCTTTACTCTTTACAGTGAAACTGAGACCCACCAGAAAGACAAGAACTGGAACTTTTTTTTTCCAAACGTGCTTCATGATAATTTCATTTTGGCAACTAGTTTGTCTTTGTGTTACTTTGAGAAGACATGAAAAGAAATTCAGGCTTATTCGGGTCAGTCCCTGTGTGGTTTACTATTAACTGTGAAAATGAGACCCCTTACCTGGGATTTCCACTGCATCCGGAACGGCTCTGAACCAGAACGGCTCTGAACAAGAACAGTGGCGATTTTTGCTGTGCGCCAATTCCTACCGTATCTGTTTGTGAGATGAATTTCGTGGTTGATACGAACAGTGGGAATCGCAAGAACTCACAAGAACCTGCGGATTCAATCGCCCGATAACAAGTTGTCTGAGGCTAACCACATAAGCAGTAGATTATGTCCTTCCAGAGGAGGAAATCTACTTCTAGACTTACAAAATCATGTCATCGGGATGAAATGACATCTATAAACCTTTCACTTGTTCATCCCCGCCCGTTTGCATGGTGTGAAACACGATCCGCCTGAAACACGGAGTGTTTTATTTTGAAAAGAAGCCGGATGTTTTATTGTGTCTGTGCCCGACTTCCTTTCCAGCACGGGTTAATCTGTGCTGAATTTACCCAGCATGCTCCAGCATCCGGAAAAAACAGAACTCTTGCAATCAGCTGCAGAGTCCGGCGATCTGGAGCAGAATGGAAAGAAGCCGGTGGAAATTGACACATTAACTTGAATGGTTACGATCAGCTGTGATCGGTGGATACGGCCTTTTCGTAGCTGTTCCGGATGCGATGGAAATTGCCACTTAGCTTTGCAGCTGCAACAGAATGCACGGAATCTTAATAAATCAAGATACTGCTGAGCTTTTTCTCATCAAATCTAAAGCTGCTGCTTCTGATCTGAACATTCATGATCCCTTTCATAAACTCGCAGAGGTTTAAGACAGAATATTCTTTACATTTGGTCTGAACACACCTTTAAAACTCCAAACAAATCAAGACATTCAACTCCTCCTTATTTGGTTGCAAATCACCAAAATAAAACTGGATGTTTACTCATACAGGCAGCCAAAATTTGTCATTAATTTGAGTTCTCACTGGAAATATTCGCTCTTGGTGAACATGAGCAACATCGACTCTTCATTAGCACAACAGAACTGACTTTAAAAACGCTCACAGAGCCGAGGATGTGGAAATGGATTGTTTACTCGCAGGGTGTGACAGCGACCAACGACGCCAAAAAGCGGCTTATTAGTGAAATTAATGTGGTTGTGCTATTTTTGGGGCTATGCTCCAGAGAGTACACATCACTTTTGAAAAAGCCATTACGCTGAGCTAATTGTGCACCATAAATGTCAGGTATGACTAATGCGGGACTTGTGCAGAGAAAGTAAGTGTATAATGTCACCTCACGAGGCTTCTCCGCTTGAAGCAGCATCTGACTACCTATAATCTGTGAGCAAAAATACCCTAAAATCTCAGTGATTAAAAAGCCCTTCATACCAAGAGAGTCAGTGAATTTCTCTGTTGTGGCTTTTCTTGGCGGGGGACAAATTGAAAACACTCGGTGCTTTTTTTTTTTGTTTGCTACAAAGTCCTTTTTTTGAACAGCTGCTTTGGGGAATGTGGGATTAAGTATTGTGCATTTTAAAACCTCCTTCACCGCTTGATCAATTTTAGGTGAAGCGATTTTATGATCTGACAAACTCGAGTTTATATCTGATCAATCATGCTTAGCAGTATACCGCCAGCATAGTTCAAGTCATGGGGAGAATAACTGATCACCGCTAAATCTCAGGCTGCCAGACTGAGACTATTTTGTTTATATGTGCAGCCCTGGAGGCCTTTTCATGACATTATCTTCCTGATTCATGACTTCCTGTTGTTTTGTGTGGGGCTGATGTTTCATTTGACATTGTGTTACCAGATATTTCGTTGGGGGAGCACTGCACACCTTGTTTCTGTGCTTTACCTCAAAGGCTTCTAATAAACCTTCCTTAATATGAGGAAAATCAAGGCGGCTTCCACAACACAAAGAGACAAACATGGAAAACAAACATTTGCATGTATGTTGACGAATAATACCAGCACAAGCAGGTTTTGTGTGATTTCAGGGCATGTTTTCGATAGATAGACACCTTCTCAGAGGGAAAATACAGGCCCGAGTCTCCGTGGAGCCTCTTGCAGTTCATGCCAGTGCACATTGTTCGACGAGAAACACGTAGCATCTTAATGTTTTTCATCTTTCACGATTTTTTTCCTCGTTGAACAAAATTACTTTCAGAAGTTCTGCATCTTTTTTTTCCAGGAAGTAAAAGCTGTCCTTTGTTTGATGATTTAAGAAGTTGTGAGGCAGTCAGCCCGGGGACAAATGCAGTCTTAGTGTTTCGAGTTGATGGGGGAAGCTCACGGTCTATTAAAGACAGTCCTGTGTGGCAAACTGTGACAGGAGGAGACAGGACTCCTCAGAGAGGCTACGATTTCAACTGGAGCGCAAAGAACAACAACACAGAGCTGGTTTAAGAGTGATTTTGATTTCTAACCTTTCTCAACTTTTGCTTTTTAACAAATGCCAAAGTTTGAATAGTTTCAGTGTTTGTCTTTTCTCCTTAACGCTTCTGTTAAGGTCTTGGATGATGAAAATCTTGCCTTAGTCAATGGGATGCAAACTGGACTCCAACTTTGAATATATCCATTACTCGAGTCATCTTTCTGTACCAACAAAAAGACCTTTGTCTTTCCCCAGTTCCCCGTCTCCTCACCCTCCAGCTTGACCTCTCTCCAGTCACTGCGTCTAATCCTGGCTGACAGAGGGCCGAAGGGAGAGAAAGTTGTAAAGAAAAGGAAGGTGGAGGCAAAAACTGTACATCCCCGGAAAAAAAACTTTCCTTTAAGTCAGCAGCAGCAAAGCTGTTCCCAGGAGGAGGTCGTTCTCCTTCCCGGGCTCCCTGGAGGTGCATTCAGGGGGAAGGCGCAGAAAGTGCTATATGTGTCCTGGTTTCGAAAGGTAGGCAATGAGAGCTACCACCACCCCCACGTACACGCCGGTGCCTATAGTGATGGAGAGGGCTGCGAGGAACAGAGCTCGTCGAGAAGCGATGTTGGCCAGTGGGAAGTCACCTTTGTTCACTGCCTTGGTGGTCTGAAGAGGAGAGAAAAAAATGTAAAAGAAGAAGAAAGTCAGACAATTTAGAGGCACCTCAAGAGGAAGAATGACCCATTTTTCAAAAGAATCATAATTACAGAGTAGCTGTGTGTTATTTCTGTGGCGGTGTGAAAAAAAAAAAAATGAAAGGAAAATGGAGTCGGAGGACGGAACAATCGAAGGAGCAGCAACCCAGGAGATCTCCTCATGCATGGCAGGAATAAAAATGGCAATTAGAGTGAAAATGTCAAGGAGCAAAGGTTATGGTCATTTTTTTCTGCCAGCGCTGAATGATAAATGACACGAGAGAGAAGCAGATTTATCAAACAACCCCCAACAAAGAGCTCCGTCAAACTACTTTTACTCATTACACAATATTTTCAAAGGACATGTGGAAACCTTGTGCTGAGAGGTGAAAGCTTAACATTTAAAAGCTTATATAGGTCATTAAAAAAGCCGCCTCTTCATGTGTTCTGATTGCTTTGTTGCGGAGAGGTTTCAGACTTGTTTCTCCAGACAACAACCCCCCCTCTGCATGACCCAGTTACAGTGTATTTAAGGTTATAGTGCATCTTAACAACCCTCTTTTGGCACATATGGCTCCTTTGTGCAGAGCTGTGCTAACCTCTCTGCTTAAATAACACTTGTGCTCCGACTCTGCTGTAGTGTGAGTAACTCAAACTCTAAAACAGCTGAAGTATATTTCCGGGTTTGACAGCAGCAAATTGAAAACAAGAACATTTGAAGGACTTGTTTGTTTGCAACTGCCTGCAATGCTCCGTGCAGTGAAGCAGTTCACCTTACATTAAAGCACCTTTATTTTAAACACACCAGTGAGGATGTGTTTTTTGTTTACATCTATGAAATTCACATAGATTTTTTTATGTCAAAGAAATGCAAAATAAAAGAAAAACAAGATTAGAAGTTTTTATTTTGTTAATTTTAATGCCTCAAACCAGCACAGGGGGCGCCAGAACTCACACAAACCAAAAGTTGCTAACAGGAGCTTTTGTGCTGAGATGGTCTGCATGAGGAGAAATACGCCTCAAATTCAGAAATGATGCAAATTCAAAAACACGTGAAAAAAGTGCAACACTTGAAATGTGATAACATGATGCAACTAGAAAAGCACTCGGAGAGCGCAGACCTCCGCCAAGCAGCTCATGTCCCCCCTTATATTGTGATTCACACCAAAACTTTTACTGTTACGTGTCTTTTATTAACGTTTATTTGTGTTTAAACTGGTATGTTCACTGTTCCTAAAACAAGAAATGCCCTAACTGGGATTCAAACCAAGGACCTTCTGATTGTGAGGCAACAATGCTAACCACTACACCACTGCGCCACCTATCTACACCACTGTGCCGCCTATTGGTTATCTTTCAGCATTGAAAATTCCAACGACACCCTTATTTTGTGTGTTCTGGATCACAGTATCCAGAATTTTGTCCTGATCACCACCAAAATGTAATGGGATCCTCCTGGGGCTGAGACGCACCTTTGGTGAAAATTTCAGGTCAATCCATCTCTCACTCTCTCCATAAACAAACCAATGCTACCGAAAACATAACCTCCTTGGCTGAGGTAAAAATAACACAAGAGCTGACCTGCTGCAAATACACAACAAACACATAATTGCTTTCACAGAAAAGGACTATTTTGAAAAGCATGACCTGTTTTTTCCTAAAGCGAAGGAGAAGTAGTAGACTGCTCGGAAACTAGCTAAAGCAGCCCTCTGAAAGATGACTCGGCACTTTTAGAGCTAATTTTCAAGTTTTAACGTGAATCCAAAAACATCATTAGAGCTCATGCCTCTGAGCGATTGAACATTTATACTTTCTATCTGTTCTTATTGAGTTCTGTGACTTACAATCTACCTGGGATGGTGAACTTCAAAATAAAAGATTAGCTTGGCAATGCAGGACACAAGATGGGGAAAATGTCAAAATAAAAGCATGTTACGTATTACATTATTTACCTTTCTGTGACTATGACATGTTATGTGTTATCCATAAATATTGTAATAATATTGCTGTTGTCCTATTTCATGGCCATAATAATCGTGAGGTGAAAATCTGATGTTGTGTACTGTAGCATGCTCTTCCTAAACACGCTCATTCTACCGATGGTTAGCCTTGTGGGCTCAGTAGACTTCTAGATCACACAGAAGTCTTTAGATTGTAAATTATTTATTTTGCCCTTCAACGGGTCTTTGTCTGCACAGTATGTTCCATTGTCTTGGCTCTGTGAAACCCACGAAAACAAAAAAACACTTCCTTTAACATGTGAGCCGTCTGAACCAAAACCTCATCAGGATAAAAAAAAGGCATCAAACTCGTCAACAAGACCAGAGGCGCAGTGTTTTTCTTCGCTGCTTCTTCAGTTAGTGGCCCTCTGCCCTGCGATTTCTCTCCTTTGATGGCTCCCCGAAGACCCGTCTGTGCTTCAAAGAGGCCCTGAGTAAAAGCTGTACAAGCTTTCAAACAAAGAATCAGGCGCTACACTCAACAGCAACACTTCCCTCTTAAGTATATGAGGTGGAGATACTCAATACTGTACAAGCTAGTCAATTATTAACTGTGTGTTCAGTGTTTGAAAGGAGTTATCAGGCACACATGGTATGATGTTGATAAAATGTAGAGTTTTAGCAAAATAAGCATTTACTTGTTGTCTTGTTTGCCCTGCTTTTTAGCTGTTTTACTCTCCCCCCAAAAAACTGGCTTAAATCACAACCTGCTGTTTCAAAATAAAACACAGATGATAGCAGCGAGAGTGACATCGTAAACCCCTAGAACTGCTAAACCAACACAGTCAGGAGTTTCCTGTTATATCAAAATTTAATTGAAAAGATACGAGCGAGCAGGAGCGTCTGTTTGTGGGCGGGGCTTGCTGGAGCACAGACAAAAGGGAGAGGAGGAGCTGAGGGGAAAACTGGTTGGGAGGGGTAGAGTTTACATTCAAGATTTCTTCTCAAAAACTGGCACTTCCTCAGATCCTGCCTACCCCACTTTTAATATGGAAACTTTAAGCTCTTGTTTGTGTTGGTTTTGGCGCCCCCTCTGGATAAGAATTACCTCTCACATATACCCTTGTTTTGTCTTATGCATGTGTTTTCAGTCAAGAGGTCTCAATCTGCTGTCTTTTAATTATGAAATGTATCACATCTTGAGCCTATCTGCTGTTTTTCAAATAAAAATAAGAATTTAGCTGCAGTGTTGTCCATCGTCCAATCGTCTCATCTGACAGCTGCCCCTCACAGTGTTTACAGGCTTCAAAAATACAACAAAGCAGTTGTCAATCTTGTCAAGATTTTCAGCTTTTCTAGGTCTTGAGGAGGCATCATAGATAATTTCAGTATTTCATAAATAGTGAAAAACTGCTTGAGGGATCTTTATCTGAAAGACTTGACGTGCACACTACAGAGTCAAATTAATCTATGAGAAATGGTGAAAACTTGATCAATTTACAACATAGTTTGTGATACCTAGGCCTGTCACGATAACAAATTTTGCTGGACGATAATTGTGCTACAAATTATTGCCGATAAACGATATTATTGACACCGTTTTTTAAATTATAGATAATGATATTAAATGGCATAATAATGCGAGTACACCGTGTCAAAAGTGATAAACTTTAATTTCACCCATGGCGAAGACGTAACGTTGACGAGCTAATCATAAGTCGGAGATGACTAAAATGTGACGAGACGAAAGTGCGTTTACGTTGATGGGACGAGACGAAAATGACGAACAGAGTTGCAAAACTCAGTCAGTTAAACGCTAAACATATAGGAGCAGCTTCAGTCCGCTCTGACAGCTCTCATCAGCCTGCTGTGCTCCTCCAACACACAGACACACACGCGCGCGCGCACACACACGTGGAGTTTTGTGGTTGACGAAAACAAAACTGGTTTAAAGCCGAAATATTCCCACACTTGGGCTGTTGCGTTCGGTTTAGACACCAAAGCTGTCGTGTTCATTCTGTTTGCTTGCTTTTCACTCACGACGCTCACTTGCAGCACTGTATCCAAAAGTCTGTGTCTGTGTGCCTGTGCGCGCCAGCCCCCTTGTGACAAAGACACTGAATCACTGACAGGAGGGTTCACTAACTCCGTTCATTCCGCTATAGAGCCAACGCCCCCAGGTGCCGAGAAAAATGCGCAGAGTGAGACCTCTTCTCTCATCCAGCGTGTTTGGTAGCGAGAGAGGAGGAAAACAAACGCACGTCAATTATCGAGGCTGGCAAAATGACCGACCTCGTTTTTATTTACCGAGCGATAAGGCGATTTATTGATTATCGCGACAGGCCTAGTGATACCAAAAGTTTCCTCAAACGTCGATGTTCCTTGCGAAAAGTGAAACATCTTCCTGGACTGGCTTTAAGCAGTCAGAAGGAAGTTATATCAGCTAGGAAGTGGATCCAAGCATCCAGGTTTTGCTTTTCCGGTTAAAGTTATTTACTGATCAGATCCTAGGAAATGAACACAGGCAACTCTGAATGTCAGTCAGATGTCCCTTGAATACTGCCTCCACTTTTGATGTGTTCACAGTTCTGGCACTGCTGTCTGTCCTCCAGCTATTTACTCTTCAAATCAACTCTCCTGCCAAAGGAGGAAAGGTGGGGAAGAGATGGGTGTCTACTTGGATATCCAGTTTTCATTTACAGCTGAATAGAGGTAAGCGCTGAAGCAGAAATTACACCCGCTGACACTGTAGTCAAAAGTTTTACAGAGGCGTTCGTCAACTTCAGGAGCTTTTCAATTGTCTTCTTAAAAACTAATTTCCATCTTAGTCCAAATGTCACCACGAATTAATCTGTTATTTTCATTCTAGATAATGAGATGCGCCGGTGTCAACAATTTATGTGGCTGCATCACAACTACAATTTATGAAAACTTTCACATAACATCCTGAATGTATTTCAGCACATTAAGAAATGCACCGGTGACCTTCATTATTATATCAACTCTATTGTAATGATAATGGAGCTGCTGTGTGCTGTACAACTCTGGGGCCATGGCCACTTTTTAAGACCTGAACTTTCATTTGACAGTCCGCTGTATCACGCTCTGTAGATGAGGTTTTTCTATCTTTTACTGATGGATACATTTGGGAGATATTATGTCCGCTATTTCGTAACGTTGTCTGCATAGAGGCGGATTTTCTACCTGGCAGTGGCATTAGATAGAATACTGACAGCCAAAGCGAAGCAAAAACCCTTGTCTTATCCTCTGACTTGCAGAGGTGGGGGCTTGACGACTCGACTTGAGACTCGACTTGGACTTGAGTCCCGTTTTTGACTTGCTTGATGAAATCAAGAAATGACTTGGACTCGCTTGGGACTTGATTGCTAAAGTCTTGAGACTTGACTTAACTTGAGCCCAGTGACTTGAAAAGTCAAGTCAAGTCTTTTCAAGGCACTTAATACCTTACAGCAAGCCCAAACCATTTGGCTTTGATCTGACTTGTTTTTGACCTGAAAGAAACGGTAAGGACTTGGTTGGGACTTCAAGCAAAAAGTTCAGGATTCGGACTTGACTTGGGACTTGTCTGTGTTGGCTTGGACTTGACTCGAGACTTGAGAGCAAACGACTTGGACTTGCCACGGACTTGAGAGCAAAGACTTGTGACTCGACTTGGACTTGCAACATAAGGACTTTCCCCCACCTCTGCTGACTTGCCTCACAGTCTCTAAGACTCGGTGTAAAAGCATCTCTTCATACTCAACCTTACTTATCTTTACAGATTTATAATCTAAGAAGTCTGGGAGGGCTTTGGAGTCGAGCCACCGCTTTCCCTCTGAGAGCAGCCAGCTGCTTCAGGTACCCTACCCCGTGGCTGCTGTTGTTTAATGCGTGCTGTTTGTTGCTAACTGAAGTGAAAGCCTGAGGTAAATGTAAATCACGCTGGAAACACCAAAACCTCTCTGCCGAAGCTCTTAAACAATCCCCTTGGGAGAGCTGAAGGATGCTATCTGACAACTTGGACTAAAAATTACGCTTAAAAACCTGGTGGTTTCATGAGATAGGGAAATTTAAAAAATCATACCGGTAATGATTGTTGTGGCATCAAGCCTTTTATCCAAATAAAAATCTATAATCAATGAATTATGGGGGAAAAAACAGCTTATACACAGGCTTCAGGTCCGTCTTTTTAAATTAACCATACAAATATTTGCCATCTCTCCAGATGTTTTTTGTAATGAATATTTAGCATTTACTCCTACCTTTTCATCCATACACTGCACTGAGCATAATGAAAAAACACTGCATTATTCATGAGCGCTGCACATTTGCACTACAGTCATGCAAACAGAGTCAGTGCAGCCGTCCTAGACAGAAAAATCCAGAATTTAAAGCCAAATGGCAAACAGTCGAGTCTAGCTTGGATTGACAAGTGTTTTTAGTAGATCCCTCAGGAAAGACAAATCCAAAGTACATGTGACAGAAACCGTGAATTGTTCAGCCTGGCATCTGTCAATATTGGGGGAAAAAAAGGCAGACTTGGTTCATCACATGTTAGTCATACAGTATTAACACTCTGAGAGCCATCAAACTCTAATATCTCATTTTTGCTTTGATTATCTTGTTCAATCAAGTCTGTTCAAATATTAAAATACCATTATTATTTCAGTAAGTTAATTTGTAGTTCGACAGAGTGAGGCGCTCTGGGCTGCTCAGAGTTGTACAACATGAAAGCCCATCGCTCTAAAGATTAAGATATCTGTCGACGCTACACTGGTTTGCTTGCTTCTTCATCATCAGATGTTCAACTCTTAAAGAAAATATGAAGATTTATGATTCAACTAACTAATTTGAAATTTATCAAAATGGGATAAAGCCCTTGAGATGTCCCATTTCGTTTTCGAGGGGGTCCCACACATAAAACAAATACAGTCCACAAGACAAATAGAAATATCACATGTATAACACTAACAAAACAATAACAACACTTAACAAGGACAACAAATAACAGCCTTCATCTCCACAAAGAGAAAGGGAAAAAATCAACAACACACATTTACATTACAAAATGGGTAGCGTCTAAAAGTCCTTACACACCGAGACCAACGCAAATATATGACACGAAATTATTAAATATTCTGAGGCGAATTTTGATGCGCCTGACTATACACATTAAGCCCGATGCGATTTTGCGTCTTTCCAGGGGGAAAAAAGATGCGTTCCGGGTGGAAGCGAGAAGACTGACCCAACAGCAGACTGAGTGTTTTTCAGTTCTGATTAGACTCTAGCATTGAGATGTCTGTCTGTCATGATAGCATGTACTGAGTCGGGGCCAGTTCCAGATAAGCACATTAAACTATAATCCATAAACGTAAGGTAACAACCGAGACCTAATGGTGCTGTGACAGCAACGGGATTGAGTTTGAGACAGTGAAAATACATATGGTATGTTGTATCTAAACAGGTTAGCTTACGAGCTAAAGTTACTTAGCACAGATGAAAGTTAAAACAAAGACGTTTAGCAAACTGTTAAAGCACAGAAACCATCGTCATATGAGAAATCCGACGCTATGACTCTCCACAAGTTGTCCTTCAGGTCGTTATCTTTGTAATGTTTGTGACTTTTATCAAAAAGTACTCTGTTCTCCGACACGTCAACAATCAGCCAGTCGGCCATGTTGGATATACTGGTGAATCTGACGTCGCAACAACACGCAATCTGATTGGTCAGAAGTGGACACATAGTATACGAAACTTTAGAATAATCGACCGTGATCCGAAAAAATAAATGCCGCAATATCGCAGGATGGGAAAACATCGCTGATGTGAACGCTTGTATTGGTTCAAAAAAACATTTGACACCCGAAACAATTGTACGATAAAAACGGTCCCGGTGTGAAAGGACATTAACTCTAAATAAAAGGTTTCTGTTTGTTTCTCAACAACTAACTAACTGCAGCAACGAGAAGTTGAACGACTTTTCTGATGATTGTGAGAGTAAAAGAACTTTGAGGATGAAAATCTAAGCCTTGAACTTCTTTTTATCCAAGCGTTGAACACAAACATCACATCCAAATTCAAAACAAAAGAAAAAAAAAAAGAAGAGAGAACAGACTCTTTATTACTATAGAAGCTATTTTTCATTAGGCGGCATGCTTATTTCAAGAGGCTCATTGTGCTCAAGCAATGCTGTAATCAAGAGCTCGAGACTTTTTAATGTGAGGGTTGATTTCAAGTTTGAAAAAATAATCTTTATTGAACCGTTTCTCTTTATGCAGCATTCATTTCTAAAGCACTTCAAAAACAAAAGAGTCTGGATCGTCTCTTAAATATGAGAAATACAAGAAAATTTTCACTTCAAACTCACAAAGTCACTACTGAGAAAATGCTCGAGGCTCCTCCGCTCAGTACCATTAGCACCGAGAAGCTTTTTAGAAGACAAAGACTTATAGTCAGAGACAAAGGGAGCCAGATGAGAGTCAGCGAGAGGGAGAGGAAGACTTTGTAGAAAAATGCTTCAAAAGGTCAAGAAGCTAATCAAGACAAAGAACATGTAATCAACCAAGCCTGCGTGTCGTTACGGTAATTATTGAAACAATAGCACTGTTATGAAGGTCTTATGGGAAATCAGGTGTACTCTCCGAACTAGACAGAACACAATCTCCTTTTGAGGATGCATTACTCCTCCTCAGCAAGGTCTTTCTAAAGGGAGAAATCCTGAAAAGAGTCATGATGTGACAGCAGACGGTTTCATTCTCTCCACCACTGGCAGGAAACGTTGATGAAGGACACACGCCTGTTATTTCATTTCTCCTGCCAAAGCATGTGTAATTGATTTATCTGTCTTTTTCTCTCTTTCACACTAGTGATTAAATTAAAGCATGTTATGACTCTCCCTGAGGAACACGAAGCCGAAGTATAATAACGCCATAATACGGACTAAAGAGATGAATGTGCGCGCGTGTGTAATGTATATTACATGTCAATGTGAGGCTCTTTTCCTTGAATCCCCTTGAGAGGGAAATGGTTAGAAGCATTAAGACTTTATCGCCGCAACCTTGACAAAATGATTGAAATGTGGTGTCATGGAGGGAAAGATAACATCGGCGACTTAGCTGCAGAGACTTTTATTGCCATGTGCTCTAGGAAGTCAATTCAGCAACCTGAACTGGTTTTCCAGCCCAATAAACACCACATTAAACCCCATTTTTTTCCCAATTCATCCTTCTCTTTTTCTCTATATCTCGACCTCCCCCTATTTAAAGGATGCAAATGCAAATATACAAACTGTTCCGCAATAATTAGCCCATTCATTTTCATCCATTATCATGACTAGTACGCCATGAGATAACTTCAGGGGGAGCCTTATTTGCATAATCATGAAAAGAACCGCTGTTGCTCCTCAACTCCGCACTTTCCAGCGCAGATATCTCCAAGCAGGGAGAAACATTTATCAGCATCTCCAAAACAAAACACTCACCCTATTAGTGGCAATAATTGAAACTCAATTCTGTTTCCCAATCAAATGCTTCAAGCTCATTTTCCCCAGATACTCACACTATTTCAGTCATTACCGGCTAAGTGTGTGTGTGTGTGTGTGTGTGGGTGGTAAACGCTGAATCCCAACAATGTAAAGCGCTGTTTACCATAAAGACGTTACACAGAATTAAAGATGCAGTCTTTGCCAAATAGGATAGAAGCAATTAAAAGCAGAAGATAATTGCTTGTCTGTTCCTGTATGTGTGTGTCTGTGTGTTTGTTTATGCGCTCACTCATCTTCTATCCTTGAGAAACCATTCAGCGTCTCTTTCTGCTCAACTATGACTGACCTTCTAGCGGGAAAACAAAACACTATTGATCCACCGTCCTCAGACTCCATTACAGACGCTAACCTGTTTGTTTGTATATGTCCTCAGAGCAGGTGACAACGCTGATATGGGATCATTTCGAAACATTTTTCCTCGGTTTGCTCTGCTGCCCTTGTATAATCCTATTATGCATCTACTTATATGAGGCAAGGAGGACTCACCAGCAGAAAAAAAAGCGTAAGAAGGCGTTTAAGTTTGTAGAAAGGACTGGACGGATAAGTTTTCTTACATAAATCCGTCTTTTCTGGACTGATTCTTACCAAGAACACTATCAAAAACCTCCAAATGACCTTCAAATGTCCACATACTGCACTCAGAAAATCACTATTATGTGTACAGAACAAAATGTGGCAATCTTGTTCCAGTGTTCTGTATCATGACCAGAAATATGGTCAGATTAAACTGACCAGGGAATTAACCATAAACTGTATATAGAATAGATGCCGTCTGCCTCCTCGCTGGGTGAAGCTACCCGAGAACAGCACCCTCTGGTGATGGGCTGCAGTATAGCTTTTTGTCTGTACAGCCTCATTTTTAAAAGTTATGAGGAGGTTCATGTTTTCTACGATTGAAACTTGATACAGCCTACGGGGGTACGAGGATTGCGTAGCTCACCCAGGGGATACACTGTTTGAGCCGAGCGTCATCGAAGCGACTCTCGGCGACCCCTCTGCGCAATGTTGGTTTCAGGAAATGGAGAAAAATCGTGGAAATACCAAGAGCTTTTTGGCTTCAAATCCGTATACTGGTGGAAAGTGGAACCAAGTTGTCCATAGTATATACAGTCTATGATTTAAACATACAGTGAAGCCAAAACATTTAGAGCTCCCCCCTGGTGACCAGCTCTAGCTAGTTTGCTCCAATATAAACAGTTTTTCTCATCCCGATTGGTGTCCAAGTGAACTATACCAAGTAGGTTACTTTTAATTGGTTGTTCAAAGTTAAAAAAGTTAAGATCTGAAGTCACTGAATAATTTGATGATGACTTTGAGTTTGCCGAGCTGTTTTAATATGGAAATCCTAGCCTCAAAGTGTGCTGAAATATCACCCCAATCTTCCCTCCTTTGACACAGACACACTTGCATTGAAGAAAGATGCATTTAGGGCTGACAAAATAATAATAATAAAATCAAATTTCTGCTACATCTGTGGCATGTTTAAGTTTGTTTTTCTGTGATGCATTTGAGTGTATCTGACAGGAATTAATTGCATGCAAAAACGGAAATGATGATACGTGTTGAACAACATAGAACTAGAAATGTCTCCAATTCCAACATGCCCCACCATCCTGTAACAATGATTACTGCTAATTTCCTTCATAATTTTGTTAAAGAATTTCATAAACTTGGTAAACTTTCAGTCATTCATGTGGTGGAGAACATATTTTCTGTGATTTGAAAACATCAAAACAAACATTTTCTGTTTTTTTTGACACTTTAAGGGTCAGTGAAGAGTCTCACACAGACAGTTCAGAAGTAAGGATTTAACAATGATAATTCAATTCCAGACTGTGCTTTATTACAGTTTTACAATACCTTCATGCGAACTCCTACAGAATTAATTCATTAAGTGAAAGGGCCCCCTGAATAACTCAATGAAACGAAGGCCAGTGAAGTAGATTATTGAGCCATAAAGTGAAGCGAACCCGGACTGCCTCCATATCTTTTCCTTACAGCTCTTCTAGACACCACCTTCTAAAAGACGGAGATTGGCAGCAGAGCCATCCATCCCTAAACACAACCATCACTTCCCCATAATTACCCAGGAAGAATCAAATTAGCCCCTGACAAGATAATTCACTGACCGCCTTAATCTGCTGTGGACTGCTCGCACCCACAGATAACTCGGCTTAACGCTCCGGCTTTTGATAAGAATTTATAGTCAAAGGACGGACAGTTTACTGAAGGCTTGAGTGTGTACAGTTTTGTGTGTTTGCTTGTGCTTGTAAATACACACTGCACATGAGTTTGTGCTGTTATCCGCCTCTCGGGGAGGCAGAATTGATTAGCAGCAGGAGAAGACGTGATCTCTGCACTCTTTGTTTGACTGACACGTCATCACTGGAGATGTTTCCTTACTGTATTGAAAAGAGGCAGGAAAAGTCCAGCTGGAATCAATTAGACAGCCGATAAGTGCTGTTCACCAATTCTTAAACTGAGAACATATTGGAAAAGCTTCAAACTAAGAGAGATGCTTTTGTCTTATTTGTCAGATAGCAATCTAAAACCAAATAAGAGTTCCTCCTGCACTTTCTGGTAATGCGCATTCGTCTTGACACCAAATCTCTAGCGTGGAAGTGTTATTTTTAAAAGCCTATCCTGGTACATTTGTTGCTGAATGCAGATCTATTATCCATACAGGGTTTGAACAGAGTGTTAAAGTGATATTCCAGCGTAATATTAAGTTAGGGTCAAACACACGGTATACCGAGTTAGACACCCTGGCAAGAGATGAATTTTGCCAACCAATTGCTTCTCTAGTTATACCCACTTTAGTAACGACCGCAGGATAGCAATACGGAGAGCCATGCGCTCAACCAAAATGTCACTCTATACCCACAAATAATGCTCAGAACAGCACCTAACTTCATCAAAAGTACATATAAGGGTCCTAGCCATAGCACTAGCTACCAAACATCTTTTTCACTCTGCCTGATTTCTTTAGCAAAGATACTCACCCACTCTCCTCCAGCAGCCGCTTGTTTGTACGGAGACTTCCGGGCGAGTCCATCGACTGCAGCGGAGTTTCTCAGCTCAAGGAAGAACATTTATGATCATTTCCTCATGGAAATGCAATCAGACCGAGACACTAAGGCAGAAGAACTACCACGTCTGCAGTGCAAAATGATTAATATGGTGATTATTACTTTAAGGAAATGATCATAAATGTTCTTCCTTGAGCTGCGAAACTCCACTGCAGTCGATGGACTCGCCTGGAGGTCTCCGTACAAACAAGCAGCTGCTGAGAGAGAGTGGATGAGTCTGTTTGCTAAAGAAATCAGGCAAAGCTTAAAAAGATGTTTGGTGGCTGGGACCCTATATGTCCTGTTGATGAAGTTAGGTGCTGTTCTGAGCATTATTTGTGGCTATAGAGTGGCGTTTTGGTTGAGTGCATGGCTCTCTGTATTGCAACATTTATCCCTCGGCGGGGTGTCTCACTCTGTGTTACGGTGTGTTAGACCCTAACTTAATTTTACGCCGGAATATCCCTTTAAAGATGATTCATTAAACGGGTGTCTTTGAGGTTTAAATATGTGATCTTTCAAAGTTAATATGTAAGGCAACGCCTGTGCGTGAAAACCAAAGAGACAAATAAAGTAGCTTCTTAAAACGAAGGCTACACAAAAGACAGTTCAAGGCTTGTTTCCAGCATGTTTTGAAGTCTTCCTTCCTAATATACTTGTAGACTTCAGCTCCGAGAAGGCTATGTGAAGTATGTAAGAGCTCATCACTTTTAATACCTTGGCACACCTTTAATTGGGTTGATCTTAAATTCTCCTGAAAAACCCAACACTTCAAAGGCTTCCCCTCATCTTAGTATTTCCAACACTTCCTTTGCTGGACTTCCTTGAAAGTGATTCATAAACTCATCGGAAAGGCGTCTCTCAGCCTGTTTGCTGAGCATCAAGCAGCCATTACAGATCGGCCTTGAGTTATTGATGGGTAGCTCGGTAAAAAGTGGCCTTGCACTGGCAGAGGGAGAGTCTGCTGTCAGTTCTTTTTTTATGTATGATAGCCCTTAATCTTCTGGCGATGACTCATGCACAGAGCAAGGTGTGTGCGAGTGTGTGTGTACGTGGATGCCAATAAATCCACAGAAATGGGTTTGTTTGTGTGGGAGGAAAGTTGCACCTGTAGTGTTGGACGACAACAAACACATGCTAGATTCAAAAGCATGTGTGCAAACAGAAGGCTTTTGTTGTGATGTATATACAGGAATGCATGTGTGGGTCCTCACCCCCTGTGAGAAGTAGAACGCTGCGATCCCAAGAGGCCAGAAACAGCAGAGCATGGAGAAGATGGCCAGGCCCAGATGGTCTCGGGGAGGGACCACGATGAAGTTGTCCTCGCTCTCGCTGTCACTGGAGCAGTCCGTCTAGAAAGGGAACAGACAATCAGGTTAAATGTGACCAAACATTTATCCAATGTCAAGGAAGTTTCTGCAATAATGGGGCTTAATGGTTAGGGCTGGATAATTGTGGTTGACTTCCGGTTAAGCGGCCACATGGAGTAGAAGCAACAGAGAGCAGCTCCTGCGTCTTTTCATCTTATAACATTTCATTCTGGCATTATACGACGACAACTTGCTGTAATTTATTGGTGTCAAATATCTTATTGTGGTCGAGTATAAAATGACTTTGAAGAGTGGCAAATCTTCCAAAAAGGACAATTCATCATCGGCAGCTAGCTTAACAGTTGATGCTGTCTTAGTGCTGCTGGAGCAACACTGCTAGGCGCTAGCCGCTGACTTTAAAAAGTCTTTTAGCCTGCTGCAAGCTAAGTTCAACCAAGTTCAGTTTACAGTGGAAGACCATGGTCAACGCCTGGGGTCCCTCGAGCTGGCTGCCGACGACCTCAGCCAACGTCTCGGAGAGCTGGACAACATATGCTCCGGTCCACAGGCAGACAACTCTAAACTCAAGATCAAAGTCACCGACCTAGAAGGCCGAAGCAGACGGCAGAGTGGGCCTGATGGAGTCAATTGAAAGCGGGCGCCTTACTGAATTCTTTTGAGTTACTGTGTGAAGGAAGGACACACTGCAGTCCCCACAGGAGATTGACAGAGCCCACTGCTCATTAACTACCAAACTGGCCCCGGGACAGCGACCGCGCCCGATCATTCTCCGATTAAACCACTACGGGATAAAAGATCTCCTCATCCGGGAGGCTTGATGAAGAGGGAGGCTGAAGTACTGGGGCCAGCATATTCATGTGGTGGAGGACTACAGCCCTGAAGTTTTGAGTCAGTGTGCCGAGTACAGAGAAGTGATGGTGGATAATTGTTGTTGCACCAAAAACACAAATTGAACTTATATAAGCATATTTCCATAAATCTTTGAAGCCACAATGATCATCACTGGACCAACCAATCAGAGGCTGGAGGAACCCATGTTGAGGTAACGATGAGGGACTCTACCCTTGCAAATTCAACTTATTATCATATAAATTAATTACGACAACATAAACACAAAAATAAAAAGAATTAATTGTTTTTAGTCAAATATATGATCATTTCTGGCCTTTGCCTTTTAAAAGTGTTCTTAGCACTGGTAGTGCCTGTCTTTTATATCAAACCAGTGCAGTTCACGGTTTTCAGGGCTAAGTGTCCTAAGCCTGAAAAAGCCTCCAAGGCCAGCTGTTTGTTTGTTGCAGTGCTCTCAGGTGAAAAAAAAGTTTAACTTTTGAAGCACTGCCACACTAGTCAATTTCACTCCTCTAAAAAATCTAAAAGGGGTGAAAGCTTTGAGATCGGCTTTGTCAACAACAAAGTCCAGATGGAGAGAAAACTAACCGCATCTCTTTCTAAAGGGGAAAATGTCAGAAGAGCTTCTCATACAAAGATACAATTTCTTTTAGTTTTCTTTGTTTCTTTTGTAAAACGCCATAAATATAAAGTATGTAGAGCATTTTACCATAGACTTAACAATCACTACAAAGAGTATTACATAAAGTAAGCACTATAGGTCTCAATGCAAATAAATAGATTGAAATCTCTCAAGTCTTTGTTGCAAATTCAAGGCAACAGAAAGTAAGATTTTCTAAAACTTGGGAGAAACAGCTGCACAAATTTTGCCTCAAAGTAAAATTTTCCAAACCTGACCTCTAAACCAGTCTAATTTACAAGCAGGAGAATTTCCTTTTCACCACTTAAAAAAAGAGAGAAAATTAGAAGCTCTGGACTTCAGCAGACACGACCTGCAAAAGATGCAATGACACAGCCCTGAATCAAACCAGCGAAAAATCCCTCCTAATTAAAAAAGTGTTTTATTTTTATTCCGTTTGTTGGTGAGCTTAAGCTGTGACACTTGGAGTATTTTTTAGACTCTGGGAGATTGAGCCTCGCTGCTTCACTACTTGCAATTTCCACGCTAAGCTAAACAACTTAAATAAGCTTCATACTTAGCCTTCCACTAAGCTAGCCAAACTTCATTTTTAGGCTTATAAAACCCAGATATTTACATGTAATATGTTGTACACTAAGCCTGTAAACAGTGTGAGAATTACATGTTTTTTTTTTTACTGGAACTTTAGACTGCTGGCTAAGAAAACTGTCTGAAAGCTTCACACAAACAAACACAGGCTACAGCAGTCTTTAAACACAGGTCTTGGAAAGTACATTACAGAGTTACAAAGTGCAGCAGTTTTATTCTTCTCATCATCTCTAACTTGTTGTTGCAGACCAAGATTATTTCACTCTCTTGTGTCTTCCTAGTAACCTTCAGGCAGTACAGACAACAGCCTGTTAGCTATGACAGCTGAAAAAAACACACAGCATTGCTATCTGGTAGTTGAACAAAATCCACCTGACAGCTTCTCTAAAACCCATTTGTACTTTATATTTTATTCACATAGTCATTAATAAAATGTGAAGTTGTAGTTCTCCATAACGCAGAAACAATCTTCTTTAAAATCACACATTCTTATATACTGAACCGCAGACTTGCCCACAGAGTGCAGTTTTCCAGTTTTTGACAGTGCAAGGCTTTCTTGTGTCCTTGAATCTATCTTTCAAAAAAGCTAAGCTGATTTGCTAAGCTGGGTGTTTTTTTACGCGGCTGTGGGAGTGGTATAAGTCTTCACACTGAGCCAACTCCCTTTCTTTTAGTAAAGCATGACTGTCTAATTGAATGATGTATATTTTTTAAGTCATATGTACTGCTACTTCGGCTTTGCTCCTCTCCTTGTTCTCCTCTCTCTGTCTGTTGCTGCCTGATAGTTTGAACTAGTGTTGGGCGGTATGACGGTATGGTCGAAATTTTACGATACTGTTTAATGGGAGAGAGAGAGCAGATGTCTGCTGCATCTCTCTGAGTCAGTGTGTAGTTGTCTGCGCTCGCTAATAGGAAAGCCGAAGCGCATCCGTTTAGGTGCGTATACGTATTTTCACCAGCATGTTGTGGGGAGTTTCAGGTTTGGGTGCGCTACCTATAATCACCAGCATGTCCAGCTGACTGCTTGGCATAGTTTTGATGAAGAAGAAACAGCATCACTGGTGGTGGTAATGGCAGACACATAGATTAGTGGGAGCCTGACCCACCCAACATGAGGAAGAGGAGGAGGAACTCGTTCCGAAAAAGGACGTGAGTCACGGCATCGGTTATCTGGAGATTATTCGGATTTAGAAATTACGACAATGTTCAGGAAACAATACTATGCAAAGAGCGTCGTGTGGCTGTCGTTGCTGGAGGTGGAAACACCAACAACCTCTTCCACCACCAAAAGATGAAACACACCAAGCTCTGTTATGTGAGCCAATAGATGCCTAGCACCTGTTGCACCAAAAACTGAAGTAGCAGCAGCTCCTCATGCAAAAGAGCTTGGCAGTCTTTTGCCAAAGGTACGCCATATGATAAAAAATCACTAGCATTTTATACAAATCTGAGTTTAAAAAATAAAAGGAAAATGAACAAATGTGACTGTATGGTTATTTTTACACCATTAATAGAACAGAATTAATAGAATATATACCGTTACCTTGATATTAAATTACTCATACCGTGACATAAGATTTTGTTGATACCGCCCAACACTAGTTTGAACCGCTGCTGCACAACATGTTGTAGATTCAGTGGTCTACATTAATCTTCGCATGCTCCTGAACTTTGTTTTAGGTTGATCCGAGCTGGTTATAATGAAGTAAAAGTGAGAACTGTTTGAGGGGAGGGGCTGTACCCATGCTCTGGTGTTAAGAGCGAGACGAAGGGTGTTCCTCATTCAATGTAGTGGAGATACTTTCTGCAAACCTGCCAAAATACCTGAGTGTCAGTCTAGCACAACAGTCCAAACATTGGTTGCTGTGTATTATACAGTAAATTAATGTAAACTCTCCTGCATTAGAAGCGACAGACTTGTGAAATTAAATCAAAATAATAGTCCTGCATGCACGTTCTGGAGTGTTTTCAAAAAGCTGATGTCTTGTAAACAAATCTACAGACAGGCAAGTGGATTGAGAGATTTTCACAGTAAGAGAAGAAAAGAAACAGGTAGAGGTGTTTTCTAACTCGACTGGGAGGAGAGAGAATCTGAAGTCAGCCAGAGGGAAAAAAGACATTTGTGTAATGGGAAACAAAACACAGACGCGTCACTGCTCCCACGTAATGTCAAAGCACGTATTCATGAACTTTTTTTTGTGACGGCCCATTACTTTCTCATTAGTTCTGAGATATGCAGATTCCTACATTTTGGCGTCTAAACAACAGATGGCATAAAAAAAAAGGAGCCACGGTTGAGAGTGCTCTTCATTTCAGATATGAGACCGTTATGAATCAAACACACCTTCTTCCCTTCAGCTTTATGAAACTATTTCACGCTCCACACAACATTCCTCACATGAAGCTGAAATGCCTCCCGGTGAAGACAATAGACGTCAATACATCTGCATACTGTTCAGAGGGTTACAGACCCTCTCAGACCTCCTCAGTGGCAGAAATTAGTAAGGAGAGACCACTAATGTCAGGACCCACCTCAAATGAGCAGACCGGAAGTTGATTTGAAGACCTTCAAAATAAAAGCAGATATACCTGGAGTATTTTTTTTTTCTTTCTTTCTACATTGGAAGTTAATTTTGAGCCTTTCAAAATAAAAACAAATATACCAGGAGTATTTTTTTAAATGTTGGAAGTTGATTTAAAGCCTTTCAAAATGAAAGCAAATATACAGGGAGTATGTTTTTTTTGTTTTTTTTTTTAACATTGGAAGTAAATTCAAAGCCTTTCAAAATAAAAGCAAATATACCAGGAAGGTTTTTTTTTTTTTTTTTAAGAACCGAAGTTGATTTAAGACCTTTCAAAATAAAAGCGAATATACAGTGAGTAATTTTTTTCTTTTTTTTATGTTGGAAGTTGACTTAAAGCCTTTCAAAATAAAAGCAAATATACTAGAGTACTATTTTTTAAGGCGGAAGTAAATTTAAAGCATTTCAAAATAAAAGAAAATATACCAGGAGAGGTTTCTTTTCAAATTTAAAATTAAAAATTTTAAATATTTAAATTGGAAATTGATTCGAAGCCTTTTAAATTAAAAGTAGAAGTATGTATTTTTGTCTCATGTGAATATGTCTTTTCTTGGGGCTTTATTTTATGTATATAATGTTAATATGATTTTCTTTGTATTCATGTGTTCAAAAAACAAAAACAAAATACAAAACAGGATGACGACTTCAAACAACCTGGGGGTGTGTAAGAAAAAATGTCACCTCGGGTCCTCTCATTGGAGGTGGGTCCTGACAGTGGAGGTCTGCAGCCAGACCCCTTTCAAAATTATGGCGCATCAGAGTTGTGCTCAAGTCAAGTTATGTCACGTATTCAACCTTTAACATGGTACGTTGTCACTGCTTCCTTGATATCCAGAGTTAATCTATGACAGACATTCATTTGAAAGCCTCTCACTTGGACACAGGTGTGTTTATCTGTATGTTACATGACTGTAGAATGTAAACATGCATTTTGTATTTATCACAATGCAATAAATAAATCATAGAAAGGGGAAAAGTCACAATTTTAGGTTTTTTTCAATGTCATGCAGCCCTAGCAGAAATCGTTTTGTAGTTGATTTTCATCATAACGTTCTACCAAACAATTTCCAACAGACTTCTACCGTGTATCTTTCGCCATGACAAAGGCAAGACAAAGAAGAGAGATTTATTTTTCCCTCTGAGTCTGTAATGAAAAGAAATCGCAGATTGAGGCCACGGTTTCTATACGAGCCATTAAGCTGCATCCTTCACACATCATCCTGTTTGAAGGATGATCCAGCATGAGGGAGGAACATGAAAATAAATGAAAAAAATCAAGGCTAACATTTCACTGTTGTGTTGAAGAAATTGAGTGTAATATTAGGCCGAATATCACAAACTGAAATGGTAGAAATCAGAAAACATGGCAGTGAGCTGTTATCAAACATTAAATAATCACGATCTAGATGGTAATCTGTCAAAGGAAATGCTTGTCTTGCATTTTATCCAGCTCTCTGACATTTCGCCTTCATGTATTTCTTATTTTTCCAAGTATTTTTGGAGGATTTGTAACTCTTAATCCCTGCATTTGTCTCTGAGGTTGTGCTGAACCTAATGAATTTAGACCTTTATTTCAAGGATTATAGCTTTTCCCTCTCCACCACTGCTGTTTGATTTCTTATAAAGGAAAACATAGAGCCGCTCTTTTTAGTTCTGTGAGTCTTCCAGCTCAAAGGCAGCGTGCCCTGATGTGCAGAGCGCTGGCCTCAGGCCTCGAGTGGGAGTGCCAACATCTTTGTCAGATGGAGTTGTTGGTTTTTCTGAGGCCGGTGGTGTTGCTTTTAAATTCAAGACATTAAAGCTTGGCTTTCATTAGGCTCCCGGCTCCTTTAGGTCCCGGGTTTGAAGACCTCTTTGGGTTGACTGTGCTGTGAAATCCTAACAGCTGAGGGAGTGGGATTTCTTTCTCACTGTTGATTTTGAGTTAGTTAAGTCTTTCCTAAATTGAAGTATGAGCTGTAGTGGTTTATATCAACACTTAAAAACCACCACATAGATGATAAAAGCTTTATCGAGCCTCTCAGATGTGAGGTTAGAAAATAAAGAGCAACATAGAAACCAGAACGATCAGTTTAGACATCTGGACCCACCGCAATTTGAGCCTAAATTGATATTTATACACAGTTTGAGTTGATCTTGAAGCAAGATTTACTTATTTTGTGCTCGTTTTACAAACCTGATCCACAGTTAGCGTCACTATGGAGACAGACTGCTCATCAGCAGGCACAGACTTTGAATCTGTGGATTATAAACTGTGCAGTTTCTCATGGCTTCTTAAGATGTTTGGGCACATTTTTTGTTAGGACTATGATTCGTTAAAAAACTGACATAATCCTCAGGATGTCACGAGTTTTGGGATGCAAAGTAAGAAAAAAATATGGCAGATGGAAAATTTATTGTTGTCTCAGTACTAAAAAACTAAAAGGAAACCAAAATCTAACGCTACTTTTGTTCATATGCTACAAATTATTTTGTATCTACAACAGAGGGTGATAGAAAAAGCAGAAAAAAAGTGATTTGAGTGATAACGTTGTGATGCTTTGAGTAAAACATGTCAAAATATGATTACAGTTCTCTTAAATTGTAAGAAAAAGGTTCAAAAATTTGCAAATTGAAGCACCTGTGTGAAGTTTTTAATTGGTTAGGAAACAGAGCGAAATGGTCTCTTTATGCACAAAAGCAAATGAGACCGTCAATGTCAAAACTGACAATGTTTGACTGCTATGAGGGCGTAGGTGCAATGATGAAACAGCCTTTTTTTGTACTTTTCCACAGCAAATAATAAAAATAATAATATGAGGGAGTTTTTTCCCTCATATAGTTCCATAACTTTCACAAGGACGAAACAAAGTCAGCTGCGATATGATTGTTACCGCTCTATATTGTGTCCCTAATACTCTGTGTTAGCAAAAATTTTGCATTAAAATTTTGATTGAAAAAAAAACATGAATATGACAATGAAGGTGTTTAAGGCAAAATCGTACACGTATACACTTCTGCACTATTTCTAAGCAGTATTCAAATGAGCCCAGCATAACAGTCCTTCAGGTATTTCTTTTTCATTCTGAGAAGTTTTATTCCAGTGAGTCTGCACCACGCTGATGTTTTCTTTCTATTTAAAGTTAAATGGGTGCTGGGAATGTATTTGCTTTGAAGGGTGAGGCAGTTTTCATTTAGTTTTAATAACATGCAGCCTCATAGTCATACTGCCTGATGGATGGTGGGGATTAGTGGGTGGGTGGGTGGTGGAAATATGTGGGGGCTCTTCCCACTAATTATAGGAGCAGCACTGGATTCATATAATCCAAAAATAGACCCTGGATGACAAAACAAGCTTATTAAAATCCAAAAGTGTCGGAGCAAGCAGAACCTCGCCAAATTATGTCTGATACCTGAGACAACACACCTCTGTGCGGTGCGGTAAGACTATAATGAATGTGTTAAAAGCTGTGGACACAGGGCTCTGTCATGATGATCGATATATTCTAATTCTCTCATAATGTGACGCTGAAGGGGGAAAAAAAAGGGTCATAACACATGAGCGTAATGCATGCCACAGTCTGCATAATGTCATTCTTTCTTTCTGGCCTAAAGCAAGCACTGTGGTGCAATCTCTGCAGAGCCGAGCCTGCTCTGCTCCGTGCCTCCGAGCTCTCTGACAATATCTGCACAGCCTGCTGGCTGTTTGGAGAATGAAAACACACATCATCATCCAGGGATCCTGTCGGGTTGGCTTAGGTTACCCATGAATAAGGGAGAGAGGAGTTAGAAGGGGAAAAGTGGAAGGCAGTCAAACAAGCTGAAAGATAGACTCCTGTAAAGCTTCTTGTCCATGCAGATGTACCAGAGGGTCATTTTCTGGGCCTTTTGATTGGCCTGTAAGACCCAAAAGGAAGGATGAAAATGGGCAACTAACACCTTATTAAAGCTGTATTAGAGAACAAGTATTAAACTGCATTCTCACATAAACTTCGAATTCTTCAGCTCCTGAAGTTGCAGGACACAAAACCTCAAACATAGACAAGCAGAGAGCTTTTACCTGATTACAAGTAAACACAAGTTTGTTTTCCATTTTTTTGTTAGACTTTTGATGAGTGTGTCTGTATGTGCATGAGCGTGTGCACGTGTTGTCATCAGTTCACCCCCTCTGCTTTACTCGAAACCTCTAATGACTATGCATGCCACTGCTGCTAGCAGAGCAGATATGTCTTGCGGGGCGTAAATCCTGTCAACATGAGGCAACAGGCTGACAGGTAATGAAGAGCTAATGGATGGTTTCAGCACTCCGCCATGACAGCAGAACCAAGAGGAGGACTCGTGTAATTTATTTGTTGCCAAATTGCCTTCACAACACACGGGAAATGTGGTCCTGTCCACTTTTTTAACCCCTGCTGTCCATCCGCTGTGGGGCTTTGTCTTTGTGCCCTTTTTTTATTTTTTGGTGCCGACCATGACAAGTGAATGTCTTACTGTAAATCCTTAAAGGCGGGTAATTCTATGAAGGTGTCAGGATGAGAATAAACACCTATGTGTTTGAAACGCTTCTCTTTGTAGAGGTGTCTGGGTTTGCAACATTAATCTGACTTTCTTTAATCGGAGATGAGCTCAAATTTCCATAAAGTCAAGCTAAGCACAAAACAGAGATGGTCTATATTGGTGTTTTGTGACTAAGAATTAATTAAATATTCAAAGCCAGCATGCTGTGAATGCAAATAAAGACATGGCTGCTCTGACTTCAAAATAAACGCCGAATCACAGCACATTTGCTGTGTTTAAAAACCTTTAAAATCTAAGCTAGTTGCATGCTTGACTTGAAGTAAACATTCGTTAAATTGTGAAATAGTGCTGCTGGAAGTGAAATACAAATGGGATGATTTATTACTTCCTGCAGAGTCACACAGTGATTGATGTAAAATAAACACTAGAAACAGAGACATTTGATGGTATCACTCGTCCAGGGAAGGCTGTCATTGGAAACACAACCCTGAAGAAAAGGATGCACTCCAGATGCAGTAGGATGAGAAACTACATAAGGAATAGTCGCAAATCTGAGGGGGCGATTTATCAGAGACAGAAGAGAGAGAGAGACAGACAATATCTCAACTTTTTCCTCCTCAGGGGTAATTTCATTTGACAGTGAATTTATTCTAAAAAGAGTGAGAATGCGGCAGATAAGTCATTGTAAATGCACCTGTAAATATAGGTTAGACAGGTGTGAATGAGTGTTTTTGTTTTTATTATTTAAAGCTCCTGTTAGCAACTTTTGGTTTGTGTGAGTTCTGGCGCCCCCTGTGCTGGTTTGAGGCATTAAAAATTACAAAAGTGAAACTTCTAATCTTGTTTTTCTTTTTTTTTTTTGCCTTTCTGTGATATAAAAAAACCAATGTGAATTTCATAGATGTGAAAAAATCCTCACAGGAGCTTTAAAAAAGCCGTTTTAATGTCAGCTGTTGCGATGTGTCTTCATCAAGTTATCAAGCATATGTGCGTAGGAGTGCTCTTGAGCCCTCTCAGGTGTAGGTCTTCACCAAAAACGCTGATTACTGAATCTTAAAAACTGCAAAAAAGGGTTTCCAATCCAAAAATCTGTGTCAATGTAATCAGAAAATGAAAATAAAAGTGTTTATGCCAACAACATTTTCTATTTTGAGTCTTGGATGCTTGCCTGAATGCATATGAGAGCAATATGAAAAGCGCCAACAAATCACAAATTAAAAAGAATGACCATTTTCAGTCAATTAAACCCCCCAAAGAAATTACTGTATTTTAAACTGCAGCATAAAGCCAACCCCTGAAGTCATGATTACATAAATTAATGCTTTGTATTGCAGCTAGACAAAGGTGAAGTACACAGCCAGCTCTGAATGAAGACAGGGACTACTCCACAACCAAAGGGAATTCAATTACTTGGCTGAATGCATAAGCAACGTTAATGAGCGAGCGCCATAAAAGATCCAATACAACACAAAAAGACATTTTCAGCACATATATGCTCCCGCCTGATACAGAGTAATGGGATACCGCAAAAACTATATGTAATGCTATGATTGCTTTGTCCAGGAGAAAACATGCAAATGGAAAATGAGGCAGACAGAAGTCATTAGGACGTGTGCCTTCATAATAGTCCTCCTCTCATTTGATTAGATTTCTACAAAAGACAGAGCATGCTTTCTCTGCATCAGAGTCATCTGCGGGTCATCTGGCCTTTCCGCCTGTCGCCAAGCGAGGCAATATTCAGTTGCGCCGCCTGCATCCTAATGCAGAATCAGTGAAATATTCACTCGAGTGTGTATCTGCGCTCCAGATGGTTGTGTTCAGTCAAGAGAGTCCATGTCCCCAGATGTAGCTCCACTGTTGTCTGAAGAGTTTTTGATTTAACAGGCAGCCTGATGAAGCACTTCCAAAGAGGGCAGGTGAAACACACACAAGCTTTTAATAAGACTGGTTAATAAGAGCATGTGGTTTTACAGAGAGCCTGGGGTTAGCAGCCCTGAGAGGTCTGCCACTCAGGTACCTCTGAGGGACCTCCAGACACACACAGCGTGTGATCACAATGATAAGAGGCTTGTCAGGAGGCAGTCCTCTCACACATGTATTACAGTCACTGGGAGGGTTGAAGTACCTGAGGGGAATTAATGAACAAAATATTTGTTATGTTTTTTCCCTCTCTTGCCCCAGTGGCCTCTTGTTGACAGGTGTGTAATTTAGTACCATGTAATGAGGCTACAGCACGGGAACACGAGAAATCGCTCTTACACATTGAGCGCTTAGTAAACAGGTGGATATGCACAGACGAGATTGTTGTGTGGCGAAGCATCTGACGAAAATATGAAATCTGAATATTTATTTTTAAAGAATTTTTTCCTCAATACAACTAGTATCTGCTAATATCAGGAAGGAAAAACAAAATATAGAGATAAATCTTCTGTCACGTCTTCTTTTTCAGTCTTAAACAACTGTTCCTTCAGTGGCAGCTGGTATTTGTTTATTTTTTCTGTTTGCAGACGTTTTGGGGGAAAAGGAAGTTTGTTTATTGAGATACTTATAAATGGTTGCATCATCCAGTGCTTTTTTAAAAAAATTGAATTTATAATTCTATTTATTTAAGACACTGCACATAACTCAAAATCATAGCAGCGCGCTTCAAACAGTACAAACAAACAGTAAACTGGTTCAGATGCGAAAAGAGCCTAAAGCCCTAAGGAACAGGCATCAGATGAGGAAACAGATATCATTCATGAGAACACGACTGCTTTGTTTTTGCACATGGTGCTGCAGCTGTATGCTGTAGTGATGTTTCCTGTTTGGTTTTTAAGACATTCGCCTCTATTCTTTTTTTTCCAGTGCTGCAGAATTTGACAAACCTGTATGATTATAATTACGGAGGACAATATTGTGATTGCGCTAGAATAAACGGTATGATAGAGGAGTACTTGCTAGGCTTCGAGATAGTTATGAAGTATATACTGATAAGAGCAAAAATAAGCTTGTACAGTGCAGTTTGAAAGAAATCTGCTTGAAAATCTGCGCATCATTTTTGGTCATTTTGCTTTGCTGTGGTTTGTTGACCTTTAGCTGCCTCCATCTGCCTGGACCTTCACTCGCACATATTCAACAAACATGTCTTTGTGCTTCCACAGGTGTTGATACAGATTGGTTATGCTACCTTGCATCATAACAATATTATTTTGCAAGTTGTGCGCATTGCGGTGCCCGAATCAAAAAATATTCCCATTTAGCAGACATGTTTTTTGTTTTTTTTCCCTGCCTCCAGGTTAGCGTGAGCTTTCTTGGTCACACTATCATGAATAGACCCCAAACAATCAGAGAAGTGGTGGCTGCATTTAGTCAGACACATGCACTTTATTTAGATCCCAAATTGTGTTATATAGTCATATTGTCTGTACAGTCTCTAATCCTGAATGCTGTTCAATTATTTAATCAAGCAGCACCAATGTTGACATGTATTAGGAAAAAGAGTGACGGCAGAAGGTGACCATTACACTTAAATTTCACACTAACATAAAAGTAAACTTCTATGAAGTTTGCTAATGTGATTCACAGCATTGAGTTATCAGAGGGAGGAAGGGCTACGATGTCTTGGTCATCTCCTAAATTTACAAAAAAATGCTAAATTTTGAGACACATGGAAAAAATCTAAAAAATAAGACTTAAAAGAATTAATTTCGTTTAAAAAGGGGGTTATTATTATTTTTTCAAGCTCCAAATAGTCTTTCTTATAGCTTCTCAGCAGCTTTACATGATTACTGCCATTGTTGTTAGGGCCCGAGCGTAGCTGCTAAGCAGCTGCGAGAGCCCTATTATTCCTGATGGATTCTTCTTTAGGGCCCGAGCGTAGCTGCTAAGCAGCTGCGAGAGCCCTCTTGTTCCTGATGGATTCTTCTTTAGGGCCCGAGCGTAGCTGCTAAGCAGCTGCGAGAGCCCTCTTGTTCCTGATGGATTCTTCTTTTGTTATTATTATTATTTTTCCTCCGCTTTAAACTGGAAAATGGCCCACTTCCCACTGGCGAAAACTCATGAAATTTGGCAGGACGACCGGGCCTGGTGAAAAATTCGATATTCTGAAGTCGCCCAAACAATAAAATGCAAAATGGCTCCATAGCGCCCCCTAAGGCGAAAATTCACACTATTGACTGTCACGCCTGTACGCTTTGTCATATTGACACAAAAATTGACACACACGTGTATCTCAATACGGTCTACGAAAAAGTCAGCGCGGGCGCATCTGTGAAATGTACGGTTAGAGGGTTATTTCGCATTTTTTGCCGATCTGCACACATTGGAATTTCGCTAACTCCTCCGAAGGCTTTCGTTCCACCGGCACCACATTTGCTCAGGCCAATCTACACTCCATGGCCATTCAAAGTTGTACAAATCATAATGCTGCACCCCATGGTTTAGGTTCTAGGGGGCGCCAAAAATAACCCAAAAATCCACATTCTTAAAATTTTTATAAATTTTTTTTTTTGTCCTCACTGGCCTCCAAGTTTTCTAGGATGATGCAATGTCCAGCCATCAACACATTTGTGAAGGAATTTTTACTCCCCAAAAGAGCGCCCCCCCATGGCAGGAATAAAAAGTCCATTTTTTCTTGTCCCCTAAGGTGAAAATACACATTGTTGAGTGTCACGCCTGTACGCTTTGTCGTATTGACAAAAAATTTGACACACACGTGTATCTCAATAAGATCTACGAAAAAGTCAATGGGCGCGTATCTGTAAAATGTACGGCTAAAGGGCTATTTTGCATTTTTTGCCGATTCGCACACATTGGAATGTGGCTAACTCCTCCTAAGGCTTTCGTCCCACTGACACCAAATTTGCTCAGGCCAATCTACACCCCATGGCCATTCAAAGTTGTAAAAATCATGCCGCTGCACCCCATGGTTTACGTTCTAGGGGGCGCCAAAGATGACCCAAATATCCACATTCTTAAAAGTCGTTTTGGCCACTGCAGGAGTACAGAGTACTGCAGGATACACACACACAGACACACACACACACAGACACACACACACACACACACACACACACACACACACACACACACACACACACACTCAGAGTCTGTTTTTTAGCACCTGCAAAAACATGCTATTTACATATTTGACAACAATGCAGAGGCTTCCTTTTGCCCCTGAAAAAAATCAAATTTCTAACACAACTTGACTGCTCATTTCTCCAAAAGACAACCATGAAGCTCCATCCAAACCTGAAGCAGGCAGTTGGTGCATGTGTACAGGAACCTGAGGGGAGTGAGGTGACTGCTTCTGAGGAGAACATGAGCAGTGAAGATTCACCTTGGAGCGAGAACAGGGACGTGCACATGATTATACGGGGGCAGGGGCTCAAGTTTTTTCCAGTCGTTTATACAATATGGAAATTAATGTGAAATTAAAAAACAAAGTATTAATAGAAAGGTAATGACTGTCCTGTGTAGGTGACAGTGATATCCAATAGGCTAGGCACTCACAAGGCTGGCTGTGGCAAGTGTAAGTGAAAGCAACACGCACTGGCAGGAAGAACAGCAAACGCCGATGAAGGAAAAGGGTCTTTGCAGTGATGGGCGTTACCAGAGAGGACGATGGCCAGAGGACGCGAATGGGACGGGGAGGCAGCGCGTTGGGGGGGGGGGGGCGACACAGCTCGGGCCCGCCAGTGCCCCAACGGGGCCCTAGTTCGTTATTTTTCCTCCGCTTTAAACTGGAAAATGGCCCACTTCCCACTGGCGAAAACTCAGGAAATTTGGCAGGACGACCGGGCCCGGTGAAAAATTTGATATTCTGAAGTCGCCCAAACAAAAAAATGAAAAATGGCTCCATAGCGCCCCCTATGGTGAAAACTCACCTGATGCCTGTACGCTTTGTCAAAATGACACAAAATTTGACACACATGTGTATCTCAATAAGATCTACAAAAAAGTCAGTGCGGGCGTATCTGTCAAATGTACGGTTAAAGGGCTATTTCGCATTTTTTGCCGATCCGCACACATTGGAATTTCGCTAACTCCTCCGAAGGCTTTCGTTCCACCGGCACCAAATTTGCTCAGGCCAATCTACACCCCATGGCCATTAAAAGTTGTACAAATCATGACGCTGCACCCCACAGTCTACGTTCTAGGGGGCGCCAAAGATTACCCAAAAATCCACAGTCTTAAAAGTCTTATAACTTTTTATTTTTGTCCTCACTGGCCTCCAAGTTCTCTAGGATGATGCAATGTCCAGCCATCAACACATTTGTGAAGGAATTTTTACTCCCCAAAAGAGCGCCCCCACATGGCAGGAGAAAAAAGTCCATTTTTTCTTGTCCCCTAAGGTGAAAATACACATTGTTGAGTGTCACGCCTATACGCTTTGTCATATTGACCCAAAATTTGACAATCACGTGTATCTCAATAAGATCTACGAAAAAGTCAATGGGCACGTATCTGTAAAATGTACGGTTAAAGGGTTATTTCGCATTTTTTGCCGATTCGCACACATTGGAATGTGGCTAACTCCTCCTAAGGCTTTCATCCCACCGACACCAAATTTGCTCAAGCCGATCTACATCCCATGGCCATTCAAAGTTGTAAAAATCATGCCGCTGCACCCCATGGTTTACGTTCTAGGGGGCGCCAAAGATGACCCAAATATCCACATTCTTAAAAGAATCCACATCCCCCCCCCCCCAAGGCAGGAGAAAAAGTCCAGTTAACCCTGCCCATCGCTCAATGGCTCAATCGCATCGCTCTCCTGGCAACACCGTAAGGAGGAGCAACTTGCCATTTGGATATATCCTAGCTGTGTTTGTGCCCTCACTCATGGTCCAGACTTTTTTTAAATAGGACATGTAGTTTGTCTGCAGCGACCGTTTTGGTAGAAACTGCGCCTCCCATTCATTATAATGGGAAATGACCACAGACAAGTGCGCACACCATCTTTGGACCTTGAGTGTGATGCGATCGGGAGGGGGAGGCGGTCGCGCTGGGGGCGGCGCGACGCAGCTCGGGCCCGACAGTGCCCCACCGGGGCCCTAGTTCTTCTTCTTCTTCTTATTAGGGCCCGAGCGTAGCTGCTAAGCAGCTGCGAGAGCCCTCTTGTTCCTGATGGATTCTTCTTTCGTTATTTTTCCTCCGCTTTAAACTGGAAAATGGCCCACTTCCCACTGGCGAAAACTCAGGAAATTTGGCAGGACGACCGGGCCTGGTGAAAAATTTGATATTCTGAAGTCGCACAAACAAAAAAATGAAAAATGGCTCCATAGCGCCCCCTATGGTGAAAACTCACCTGACGCCTGTACGCTTTGTCAAAATGACACAAAATTTGACACACATGTGTATCTCAATAAGATCTACAAAAAAGTCAGTGCGGGCGTATCTGTCAAATGTACGGTTAAAGGGCTATTTCGCATTTTTTGCCGATCCGCACACATTGGAATTTCGCTAACTCCTCCGAAGGCTTTCGTTCCACCGGCACCAAATTTGCTCAGGCCAATCTACACCCCATGGCCATTAAAAGTTGTACAAATCATGACGCTGCACCCCACGGTTTAGGTTCTAGGGGGCGCCAAAGATAACCCAAAAATCCACATTCTTAAAAGTCTTATAACTTTTTATTTTTGTCCTCACTGGCCTCCAAGTTTTCTAGGATGATGCTATGTCCAGCCATCAACACATGTGTGAAGGAATTTTTACTCCCCAAAAGAGCGCCCCCCCATGGCAGGAGAAAAAAGTCAATTTTTTCTTGTCCCCTAACATGAAAATACACATTGTTGAGTGTCACGCCTAAACGCTTTGTCATATTGACACAAAAATTGACACACACGTGTATCTCAATAAGATCTACGAAAAAGTCAAAGAGCGCGTATCTGTATAATGTACGGTTAAAGGTTTATTTCGCATTTTTTGCCGATTCGCACACATTGGAATTTCGCTAACTCCTCCGAAGGCTTTCGTCCCACTGACACCATAGTTGCTCAGGCCAATCTACAACCCATGGCCATTAAAAGTTGTACAAATCATGACGCTGCACCCCACGGTTTAGGTTCTAGGGGGCGCCAAAGATAACCCTAAAATCCAAATATTTAAAAGTCTTATAACTTTTTATTTTTGTCCTCACTGGCCTCCAAGTTTTCTAGGATGATGCAATGTCCAGCCATCAACACATTTGTGAAGGAATTTTTACTCCCCAAAAGAGCGCCCCCCCATGGCAGGAGAAAAAAGTCAATTTTTTCTTGTCCCCTAAGGTGAAAATACACATTGTTGAGTGTCACGCCTGAACTCTTTGTCATATTGACACAAAAATTGACAATCATGTGTATCTCAATTAGATCTACGAAAAAGTCAAAGAGCGCGTATCTGTATAATGTACGGTAAAAGGGCTATTTTGCATTTTTTGCCGATTCGCACACATTGGAATTTCGCTAACTCCTCCGAAGGCTTTCGTCCCACTGACACCATAGTTGCTCAGGCCAATCTACAACCCATGGCCATTCAAAGTTGTACAAATCATGACGCTGCACCCCACGGTTTAGGTTCTAGGGGGCGCCAAAGATAACCCAAAAATCCACATTTTTAAAAGTCTTATAACTTTTTATTTTTGTGCTCACTGGCCTCCAAGTTTTCTAGGATGATGCAATGTCCAGCCATCAACACATTTGTGAAGGAATTTTTACTCCCCAAAAGAGCGCCCCCCCCCCATGGCAGGAGAAAAAGTCAAGTTTTTCCTGCCCATCGCTCAATGGCTCAAACGCATCGCTCTCTCGGCAAAACCGAAAGGAGGAGCAACTTGCCATTTGGATATATACTAGCTGTGTTTGTGCCCTCACTCATGGTCCAGACTTTTTTTAAAAAGGACATGGAGTTTGTCTGCAGCGAGCGTTTTGGTAGAAACTGCGCCTCCCATTCATTATAATGGGAAATGACCACAGACAAGTGCGCACACCATCTTTGGACCTTGAGTGTGACGCAATCGGGAGGGGTAGGCGGTCGCACTGGGGGCGGCGCGACACGGCTCGGGCCCGCCAGTGCCCCACCGGGGCCCTAGTTATTTTTCTGCCCCTTTGAACGGGAAAATGGCCCACTTCCCACTGGTGAAAAGTCATGAAATTTGGCAGGACGACCGGGCCTGGTGAAAAATTCGATATTCTGAAGTCGCCCAAAAAATCAAATGCAAAATGGCTCCATAGCGCCCCCTAAGGTGAAAAATTCACATGATTGAGTGTCACGCCTGTACGCTTTGTCAAAATGACACAAAATTTGACACACACGTGTATCTCAATAAGATCTACAAAAAAGTCAGTGCGGGCGTATCTGTCAAATGTACGGTTAAAGGGCTATTTCGCATTTTTTGCCGATCCGCACACATTGGAATTTCGCTAACTCCTCCGAAGGCTTTCGTTCCACCGGCACCACATTTGCTCAGGCCAATCTACACCCCATGGCCATTAAAAGTTGTACAAATCATGACGCTGCATCCCACGGTTTACGTTCTAGGGGGCGCCAAAGATAACCCAGAAATCCACATTCTTAAAAGTCGTATAACTTTTTATTTTTGTCCTCACTGGCCTCCAAGTTTTCTAGGATGATGCAATGTCCAGCCATCAACACATTTGTGAAGGAATTTTTACTCCCCAAAAGAGCGCCCCCCCATGGCAGGAGAAAAAAGTCCATTTTTTCTTGTCTCCTAAGGCGAAAATTCACACTATTGACTGTCACGCCTTTACGCTTTGTCATATTGACACAAAAATTGACACACACATGTATCTCAATAAGATCTACAAAAAAGTCAGTGCGGGCGTATCTGTCAAATGTACGGTGAAAGGGCTATTTCGCATTTTTTGCCGATCCGCACACATTGGAATTTCGCTAACTCCTCCGAAGGCTTTCGTTCCAAAGGCACCACATTTGCTGAGGCCAATCTACACCCCATGGCCATTAAAAGTTGTACAAATCATGACGCTGCACCCCACGGTTTACGTTCTAGGGGGCGCCAAAGATAACCCAAAAATCCACAGTCTTAAAAGTCTTATAACTTTTTATTTTTGTCCTCACTGGCCTCCAAGTTCTCTAGGATGATGCAATGTCCAGCCATCAACACATTTGTGAAGGAATTTTTACTCGCCAAAAGAGCGCCCCCCATGGCAGGAGAAAAAAGTCCATTTTTTCTTGTCTCCTAAGGCGAAAATACACATTGTTGACTGTCACGCCTTTACGCTTTGTCAAAATGACACAAAATTTGACACACACATGTATCTCAATAAGATCTACAAAAAAGTCAGTGCGGGCGTATCTGTCAAATGTACGGTTAAAGGGTTATTTCGCATTTTTTGCCGATCCGCACACATTGGAATTTCGCTAACTCCTCCTAAATCTTTTGTCCCATCGGCTTCAAATTTGCTCAGGTCAATCTACACCCCATGGCCATTCAAAGTTGTACAAATCATGACGCTGCACCCCACAGTTTACGTTCTAGGGGGCGCCAAAGAGGACCCAAATATCCACATTTTTAAAAGTCTTATAACTTTTTATTTTTGTCCTCACTGGCCTCCAAGTTTTCTAGGATGATGCAATGTCCAGCCATCAACACATTTGTGAAGGAATTTTTTCTCCCCAAAAGAGCGCCCCCCATGGCAGGAGAAAAAGTCAAGTTTTTCCTGCCCATCGCTCAATGGCTCAAACGCATCGCTCTCTCTGCAAAACCGAAAGGAGGAGCAACTTGCCATTTGGATATATACTAGCTGTGTTTGTGCCCTCACTCATGGTCCAGACTTTTTTCAAATAGGACATGTAGTTTGTCTGCAGCGAGCGTTTTGGTAGAAACTGCGCCTCCCATTCATTATAATGGGAAATGACCACAGACAAGTGCGCACACCATCTTTGGACCTTGAGTGTGACGCGATCGGGAGGGGGAGGCGGTCGCGCTGGGGGCGGCGCGACGCGGCTCGGGCCCGACAGTGCCCCACCGGGGCCCTAGTTGTTGTTGTTGCTGTGTGTGTGACAACGTGGGTTGGGGGGCGGGGAGGAGGAGGGGTGCTATGAGGTCATCGTCTTTTCCGGACTTATTTATTTATACCAACTACAGCATGAAGAGGAATACCCAGATATTTTACCGGTGTCTTTACTTGTGTAAAGACCACTTTAGAGCATGAAACAGAACTACGCCTCATCTTCACGAGTGGATCAGGTTCTGACCATAAGTCGGAAATGTCTCCTTCGATGTCTTCATTGGCTACATTACCCAAACCAACACCTTCCCCGTGTTATGATAAGTGCCACTCTGATTGAAGCTGCAGCTGTACGCACTCAAGCAGCTGTCGTCTATTATGTGAACTGCCTGTGCCTACAGTTGTTAAATACAGAATATTAGAGGTCTGCTTTACATATTCACACCTTCAGAGAAGAGGTGACTTACGAGGCTAACAGGGCGTGAGTGTGAGACTGAGAGGCTGTCAGGCGTATTAAGAAGAGCTCGATCTCCCTTCAGTTTGTATTTGAATATAAAATCTAAATCCAACTTAATCCAGTCGACTGTTGGACAATTACGACACGTCTGCCCCACAAAACAGCTCAGATTTGTAACGTGTAATCATCCCCAAAGGCCTGATATTACCCAAGATGCACTGCATTACAGAATCATCCCTCCTATAATTATTCACTGCCATTCAGACAAGGAGTAAAGAGGCACTGTTGGAGTTTTTCACAATTTTTTACCCTGAAGAGCTTCATTTAGGAACAACAGAAAGAAAAATCTCCAGTTTTTCATTCCCGAGTGAAACACTTTTATTCATATCTCTACAAACTGAAATGTTAGCAGGTCTGAACCACAAACACTGACTATTTATTGACATGAACACCAACTTCCCAGCCAGCTGTGGAGGTGTAAAAGCAGCAAAGGTTCAAACTTCTATACTCGTCTTCATTCTAGACTAATCTTTCACTCTTCTTGAGGATAACAAGAAACGTATTCTTAGATTTCAGATTCAGAATATACACCAGATCGCTGAAAACCCAAATAGCTGCTACGGATTCCTGCGTGCCGCCTCCCACTCACAGAGGGACGGGTAGACAGAAGGAGAGTGTAGACAACCAATCAACCTTGTATCAATCATTATAATTGCGACAGAAATCCCTCAACAGTTTCTACCTGGGAACATTGCCAACTGTGGAGCGCGGTTTAAAGAGGCACTGCTGGAGTTTCAACCGAGGTCTCTGCAGAGGTGGGCGGATAATTTTCACCTGCACGCTTTTGTTGCATATTCAGAGTGAAAAGTGTGCTAAACTGTCTGAATGTGATGACTGTAAATCATAAATCAGACAGATGGGAACCTTGAACTGTCAGATGCTCATTCGCTCTTTTATACCAGGTCAAGTCTTGATGGTTTAAAGCTGTGAAATCTCATGTCACTGAAGTGCTAATGTGGATGTGATAAATGATGATGACACAAAAGGAACAAAACGTGAGCTTTCATTATTTATCTCTCAACTGTTGGAGGTTATTTCAACCTTCTGTTAATTTCTCATTAAAGGGACGGTTCTGGTTTTCAACTTTTATTAGAGTCATTGCTCTATAACAAAACTACAGCTTACAGTTAAAGGGAAAAGACTGAGCTGAAATGACAAAGTCTGAAACCGTTACTGTGTAAGATGGAAATGTTCATCATTCTTGCTGTAAAATGCATCAAACTGAGATGCAAAATCTCGTCTCCCTCTGCTCTCTTTCTCTTGTGCTTCCTCTTTGCTGTAATTAAAGCATAATCGACTTCTGAACAGCATGTATCAGCTTTGACTCAAACGTATTACGCTCAGATTCAGTCACGATGTCTTCCTGTAAACCGATTAGGTGGGAACACAGCTGAACCGGACATTGGCGATATGACGAATACAGACATCAGGCCAGTTTCAGTCTGATTGAGCAGTAAATCCCCGAAATGTTAGTCTGATTATGACAAATTCAATTTAGTGGGAATGTGGTCCGTCTAACCATGTCGGGCTGCAACTAAAGACTATTTTCATAGTCGACTGGTCACCGACAATTGAAACGCTTAGTCAACTAATCAGAGAATTATGAATTTTTTCTTAAATTTAACATTAGGTTGTTTTGATTGAGCAGCAATGATAGTTAATGCTTCCAAACTAAGGAGGTTTTAAGCGCTTACTCGTAGCTGCTGTATGGGATGTCGGCGCCGCCATGTTTGAATACCCTACCGCTTGGTGGAGGAGATGCTATTGTGCATGTGTGACACTAGGCAGAGATCATACCTTACACCACTGGAAAAAAAACACGTCTGACGACAAAAGTCAACCATGGAATTCATTGTCGGCTTTTTTCGTGATCGATTTTTGTTGAAAACTTAGACTAATCGTTGCAGCCCTATTTACATGCTTTTTAAATGTCCGGTTTCACTCAAAAAAAGGCAATTATTTGATGTTTTGAACAGCAAATGTAAATGTAATGAGTGTTCAGTGAGCAAAAAGTGCAACACAAATCTGTAGCGTCCACTTTTGACAGCAAAAACCTGAAACTTTTCCTACTCAGAGCAATATTCGGGTTTGCTTCTGAATTTTTTTATTTGTTAAATTACAAAGCAGAGTTGACTTCTTTTGCTGCGGCTGACAGGCTAATTTTCTCGTCTGGTTTTTCAAGCCAGTTTCTTCACAAAGAGGCTGAGCTAACCAGGATCCCTGCTGAGTAAAACCATTAGCACTGAAAAGTTCTTCATGCAACCCAAACTCAAAAAAATCAAACCTTTTCCTTTTATGAGACGGCACACTGTGACAGAACACGTCTGGACCTCTCTCTCGTATGTAAGCAGTTAAAGCCGCCTGTTTAGCTCAGCAGCCCCACGCAAAGAGGCTTCTGCCTGGTTAATTTCAATGTAATTCGCCAAAATCGTTTACTTTTTCCAACTCTGTCCGTCATCGTGATCATGATCGATCAAAAATTTTAAAGATTACTACAGCAGAATCACAGTTTATGTGGCCGTTTTGAGATGTCCTAAAATCTGAACATGTCAGATCAGTCAAACTTTATTTTTAAAGCACTATTCGTACACAGAATGTATCACAAAGGGCTGTCCATTCGCGCAGGGTATTAAAAAAACAATGAAATAAAATAAATAAAAATACAAATACCAAACCCCACTCACTTTCCCAACCCCCATTCAACACATAAAGCACTCACACACACACAAAAGACCAAGTGAGGACTCTTCAACTTGCCACAGATGACTGAGGAAATGCTTTCTTAAGTTAAAAAAGAAGACGAGGAAACACTGGATCTAGGACTAAAAAGATAAAACCATGATAAAATATAATAAAGGTGACGAAGCGTTAAAAGTTAATAAAATAAAACAGTCTTAAAATCAAACAATAACAGAAAGTAAATTAAAAAAGAGGTAATAAAACACAAAATAGTTACTCTAGGACTAAAATAGGGTAAAATCACGTAATGCAGATTAAAAGATTAAAAAAGCCAGACTAAACAGGTAGCTCTTAAGTTTACTTTTAAAAGATGAAGGTCAAAAATTCAAGTAAAAATAGTAGGCTTGAGTATTTTTACAGAATTTATTCAACAATTTTCAGTTGTATCCTTGGAAACGTCACACATTCCAGCCAGTGTGGCTTACGATTTCCATAATTCATACAGATGCACCAAACCACTGGAAAAATATCCTCAGTTAGCGGGGAAGCGCAGCCTCTAAATCCATTGGACAGACCGGCTTAATGGTGAATTGAAGTGATCCGAGAGACTGGTTTGTCATTTACTGCCTAATGAGAAATGGGATATCCCTGAAAGATTTCACTGGAATATATGACACCGGCTCGTATTGGGTGCTGGACCCTTCAGAAAGGAACGATATGTGTGCAGTGAACTGCAGCAGGACTGCATTTTACATTTAATGAAGACATGAGCACTCATGTCCTCTCAGGTTTAGAGAGAATAGATATCCGCTCTCATAAACCTGGGCTGATCTAAACTGCAACAGAGGTGAGGCAGAGGGCGGTCATAAACGTACTTATTTCAAAACTGGTCTTTCTATTGATTTCACACCCACCACCACCATCTAAACACTCCAAAGCACGCGCTGAGAGGTTCAATCAGACCGGCTGAGAAGAGGCTATTTTCATTGAAATGCGCACAAGGACAGGATTGCCACATGTTCCGGTTATTATCTGAATATGAAACGTTCTGATAAATGATAATTTCATGCACCTGGAGATGGTGTAACAGATGGCAGACAAATAAAAATGGCAGGTTGTATCCCCAGCTCAAGTGCTTTTTTCATGTAGGCACTTTTAGGGGATTGAATGGATGACTGAGTGATTAAAAGATCTCCACGGCCACATCAGCTGTGAAGTGTTTTCTGTTGAGTACTACTTCTTGTGTTTTTCTTTTTTTTCTTTTTAAATCAAACCCAATTTCACACACTGTTGTGTTCTTGATTTAGTATATTATGGACAAAACTGTTCTTCCACTCATTGCTTAAATCTCTTTGGAGCAGTTTTCTTCGTCCATCTTGTCGGCTGTTTGGTAATCCTGTCAAGTAGAGCATATGGTGTGTTGTGGAGCGTATGTAGTGGAGTGAAGCCGATCAGGGATTTTTTAGATAGAGGGAAAAATATACAGATTTCAGATTTGGCAGTGAATACAGTGATCTTTAAGATGGAGTGGAAACAGACCTTGGTGGTTCAGAGAGACTTTGGACTAATACAACTATGTAGATGCACTCAAACGGCTTTTTTTGCAATCATCAAGAATGATAAACACAATTATATTTTGTACACCACTTTTAATTTATCCTAGTTGGAGCTCAGCTGTGCTACCTGGTTTCCTAGCATCGCATCCACGCTGATCAAGCCCCGGCATGCGAATACTGGGGCATTTACAGAACATTTAGGCCATTTTCTGTTCGACCGAGCCGTATACAGGCAAGAGAAAATCTGTCTACTTTTATTCAGTTATGTAACTCCGACTGTGATAGGGTGACCATTTTCTAACTTCCCAAAAAGAGGACATGACTACATGGGGGCGGAGTCACGGAGTAGCACAAAGTTAATGTTGAGAGTTTTTCGGGTCTGATCGAGTGTCTTTTATGCACTTCTAACTCAGTAAGTCCAAGTGACACAAAATCAAAACTCTGGTTTAAAACCGTGGACATTTGAAGGATTTTAAAAACTTTCCCAGACAACGCCGGAGAAGCCAGGACAACCCCCCAAAAAAGATGGGGGTCCTCTCATCCAAATCAAGTAAAAGACACATTATATTCATACAGATTCATAAAAATTAAATCTGAAACAGCTGGAAAACTGTTAAATTGGTGAGGGCAGGGTTTGGGTCCCTGTCCTTTCTCCGGTAATCAACCTCAGTGTAAATGCTAAAGCTCTTTTTAATGATTTAGATTATTCTGCTCTGTAAGAACTTGCTCTAACGCGACCTTTCAGAAAACATTTTTTTAAAGCTGTGATACTGAGCGTAGATACTGTTCGCAGTCACAACACTGTGATCCTGCAGTGAAGTTACATAGGCTACATTGAACACGTTGACACCGAAAATTGACGCACAAGAAAAAGTTCTGACCATAATTCTGAAATGTCCATTTTAATGGTCATTAAAGTGTAAAACCAAAAATGAACTTTTCATAGACTAGGGCTGTAAAGTCCTAGTCAACTGGTCGACTTATTGTTCGATCAACCAAAATTCTGATTGGTCGACTCGATTTCTTTCTGTGTCAATTTTCAGCCTATGGTTAATTTCATCAGGAGGAACGTACCAAGTGATAACGGGGTGTTTAATAGACATTGGCATTGCCTTCTTGTGCTGACAAGAATTTCTTGGTTGATTACAGCTCCATTACAGACAAATAGACCTATAGTATACACTAATACTGAACACTGGGGTTTTGAGCCATGGCAGGGGAAATTTCGCTGGCATCATAGCAGTGAGTAACAACTCGCCCTCAGTCAACTGGACATTCTCACACAGTGAAACAAACTTTTTTCAAAGTGTCTTTCAAGGAAAAAAAGTCACAGGAATTACTTTCCCCCTTCGGTTATTCAGACGGAGGAGATATTCTGTGGGAGGTAATGAACAGACGTGAGCTAAAATTGAAAAAGACTGTAGCGTCTGTGAATTCTGACATAAAGCCGGGGGACAGGTGCAGCAGTGTCTTCTGAATAAATCCGAGGTAGATTGATTCATGCTGCTTCATGAATCTCAGTGTGCTTCCTAAAAGTCTGGACTTCCACAACTACTTGAAAGGTTGAAAAAAAATGCACAGACCTTCCTCTGCTTTTTTATCAACCACATTAATCCTCCAGGATCTGCCCTCCCCTGTTTGATGCTCTCACTTTGTCAGGAGTGTCCACATATTGGCAGAGACCTGACACGACTCCCGTCACTCACAGACCATCAGGTTTGCGGTGACAGACAGGCAGCTACAGCATGCTGTCTCTTCTCAGCCGGTGTTGTGTCTCTGCAGCTATAAAAAGACTGCAGTCTTCAGGTCATTTGCAAGAAGGTGTCTGTCAACAACAACCACCAAAATAGAAAAATGTTTTTTTAAATTCTTTTTCCTCCTCGGGGAGACAAACAGACTTTAGCTCTACATCCCCCTGCTATCAACTTAATAGAAATATGCTATACTCAGTTTAGATTATGGATATTTTCACAGAAAGTAAAGCAGTCAAAGTATGTAGCTCATAAACAGCACCTGTTAATATTAAGTAGTGCATGAACAAAATCTTATATCAAGGTATGAGAAATTTCATATCACAGTAACAGTTTATATCACACTGTGTTTTTTCCCCCCTGTAAATTCAATTAATGGCTTAAAAATAACCATACTGTCACATTTGTTCATTTTCCTTTTATTTTTAAACTCAGATTTGTTTACAAATGTGTAACAAATGCCCGACCAGTCTGGTGATTTTTTTTTTACCATAAAAAAAAATCACCAGACTCTCATAATAGAGCTTTGTGTGTTTCATCTTTAGGAGGTAGAAGAGGTTTCTGGTGTTTCTACCTCCAGCAATGACAGCAACACAACACTCTTTGCATAGTATTGTTTTTTGATCATCAAGAATCTCCAGACAACCGATGTCGTGACTCGCGCTCTTTTTCGGAATGAGTTCCTCCTCCTCTTCCTCATGTTGGGTGGGTCGGGCTGCCTCCGTTTGCTCAGTACTGCATGTACTGCACTACATGACAACCACAAGTGAAGCTGTTTCTTTTCCGTCAAAACTATGCCGAGCAGTCTGCTGGACATGCTGGTGAATATACAAAAATGCACGTCCGTTATACACCCAAATGGGCGCGCTCCAGCTTGCTGAATTATTTTTTGTATGATGGTAGGGAAAGGTCCCGACCTACTTCCCCTCTGATTGGCTAGAAGTGCTGGGCTCCGATTGGTTATTCCTAATGGCTGTGAAACGTCATCATCTGTCGGGTTAGGGTTAGGAGATTCAGAAGTGCGATAATGTTCTGTAATGTTCTGTTCGATATACAGAGCGTGTGATGATGTTTCCAGCTTTTCTAGCCAATCAGAGGCGAAGGAGGCGGGACTTTCCCCTACCGTCCTACAAAAGAAAAAATATCGCTTCTGGCTTTCCTGTTAGCGAACGCAGACAACTACACACTGACTCAGAGAGATGCAGCAGACATCTGCTCTCTCTCTCTGGTATAAACAGTATTGCAAAATTTCTACCGGTAGACACTTTTATATCGTCGCACGGTATATACCATCATACCACCTAACTCTAATATTAAGTAACTATGACACTTTTGCATTGACAGTATGAGTGCAACAGAAATATAAAATCAGATCTGCATCTACTGAGTGATCTGCAGTATCAGCTTTCCTAATTAGCGATCACAACAGGAAACGCTTTGTCATCCATACCCCACAGTTTATAAGACGCGGATAAAAGACCATAACAGAGAGGCTTTCCTCAGATCTCGCTTTGTAAGTGTGAGAATAATCTCACCTGCTGGTGAGCGCGGAGGCTCAGAGGGGGGGTGCAGAGGCAGAGGGGGGTCCACTTGGCAGACCTCCAGTCCTCACTGTACACTTGTAAAAAGCTCGAGCTGATAAGAAGAGACCAGATTTTCCGAATTGTCCGGCACAGAGGCCTGTAACATTGTAAAAGGTTGAGCTCTGTTTTGGGCTTGTTGGCCTCTGGAGGCAAAACAGTGTTAGCTGTAATCTTCCAAATCAGGTTGGAGAGCACTGAAGTAACCTTGCAGCTGAGAGAGATCCCGCAGCTTGCTTTGGGCCAGTTTTTCATTATTTTTTTTTACACTTTCCTTATAAACTTTTTTGTCAGCTTTGAAACTTGATTGAAAGGTTCTTAAAAGAGAGTCAGATAAAAAGACTACGACAGTAATTCTAGTTAAGAAAAACAAACATACGGTATGATTAAGAAGAACTAAAGTGAAAAACAATCAAAAGAAGTTATTATTTGGAGATTTAAAACATGAAAAGGCTCCTCAGAAATATAATTAATTTTGCAGTTACTCTTTCATTGATAGTTAATTAAAGATTTTTGGTGCCTGCATTGAAAAAAATATCTCTTTAACACTTTAAAATTAAAAAAAATATATAATTCTGCTTTGTGATCTTTCTGTTTCAATCTACTACCCAGACCCTTTCATTAATTTCATCGTACATTTACATCAGCAGGTAACCTGTGAGCAAATCAGCTCAAAAATAATGACTTCATTATTCAACTTTATATTTCATTTCTATTTCTGACAGGGTCTGTAAATCCCAGTCAAAGGCAAAGCGAAATGAGAGCATCTTGTTACCGCCTGGAGTTAATGACCTTTCATAAATTGGTGAGGATTTAAAGCTTATTATTTAATTCCAGTGTTGTTCAGAACAGCTGGTGAGCCATGGCGTTCTTCTGTAACAGGCTGTACCTCTAAAAATCCGTCTGTCACGATCTGACGCCAAATCTGACAGAGGCCATGTCAACAAATAATCACTCCAATTACCCAGGAGATTACAATTCGCACCGTTTTATGATATTTTTGCCTAATAAACCTCTGAGAGACATTCTGATTAACTCTTGGCATGTGTCAAGAACTGTATAGTCTATGGATGTGGTCCCTGTGATACAGCTGGTTTCTACAGAGACAAATTTAAAATCTATTAGATGTCATCACCCTGTTAGAAATATTGACTCAACCTAGACCTAAAGGCGTGAAGCTGAGGTGGGCTTTAGCCTCCTGTCAAACAGCTGTCAATCAAATCAGCCTCACCCCTCATTATGCAAATGAGTGTTACATGCAGTGCTCAGCATAAATGAGTACACCCCTTCAGAGTTGTCAGAAAACCTTTAGTTTCCTTTCAAAATCAACATTTGCTATGTCAAATCATACAACAAAATACTCCCCCAAATGTAGGCAAGTGATTGCAAACAAGATTTTCTAAGTTGCATACAAAAAAGTATTTTTTTTCTGAGAGCAAAGCTAAATTTCAGTTACCATGTCACCCTTATTTTCATCTTAAGGTCCTTATACACTGGGAGTGTTTTTTTCTTGCGATTATTTTGGGCGTCAAATTTTTTTTCGAACCTGTATCCTGTCAATACAAGTGTTCACATCAGCGACGTTTTCCCGTCCTGCAATATTGCGGCATTTATTTTTTCGGATCACAGTCGATTTTTTAAAGTTTTGCATACTGTGTATCCACTTCTGACCAATCAGATTGCGTGTTGTTGCGAAGTCTGGTTCACCGGTATATCCAACATGGCCGACCAGCTGATTGTTTACGTGTCGGAGAACAGAGTGATTTTTGATAAAAGACACAAACATTACAAAGATAACAACCTGAAGGACAACTTGTCGAGAGTCATAGCGTCGGATTTCTCATATGACGATAGTTTGTGCGCTTTAACAGTTTGCTAAACGTTTTTGTTTTAACTTTAATCTGTGCTAAGTAACTTTAGCTCGTAAGCTAACCTGTTCAGATACAACATACCATATGTATTTTCACTGTCTCAAACTCAATCCTGTTGCTGTCACAGCACCATTAAGTCTCGGTTGTTACCTTACATTTATGGATTATAGTTTAATGTGCTTATCTGGTACTGGCCCCGACTCAGTACATGCTATCATGACAGACAGACATCTCAACACTAGAGTCTAATCAGAACTGAAAAACAGTCAGTCTGCTGTTTTGTTTTCTGTTTTCAGTAACGGCGGCATATGGTAGCTCTTATTACCAGTACCAATTCGCCATCACTTGAAGTTGACGTAGACTTTCCACCCGGGATGCATCTTTTTTCCCCCCAGAAAGTCGCAAAATCGCATTGCACTTGATGTGTATAGTCAGGCACGTCAAAATTCGCCTCTGAATATTTTGTAATTCTGCGCCGTATATTTGCGTCGTTCCCGGTGTATAAGGACCTTTATGGTAAATAAAATATTATGTTAAACTCAGCCTTGTCAAAATTTTGGAAATTGTATTTTTGCTCATCTAGATATTGAGTAATACATTACTTTTAAAAGGGGGTGTACTGACTTATGCTGGGCACTGTATAGTGTACAATAACAACCCCAAACTAGGCTGTAAACATGTTTAAATCTACTTTTTGTTCGACCTATAGGAAGTGTCCCTATTTGCTGCTGAAATCTTCTCCGACTACTTTTTAATATGCATTAGTAACGTCTGTATCATCCCAAAGAGCAGGACTTGATGATTATGGATTAGGCAGTTAAGCGTCAGAAACACAATTATTTGGGACACAAACTCTTTTTTGAGTTGGTGAGTTTTGTGCTGAATCGGGAGAAAAAGATTACACCTTACTGATCCCTTTATTAAATCAATACAGTTCATTAGGGAGAAGCTGCTTCCCGAAGAGAAACGTAGAGGGATTTAAAAACAGAGATGCAAAGCGTGAAAAAGAAGCATCTGCTCATTTTGTCGGGAAGTTGTCTTGTTTGAATTAAAAAGTTAACAGCTTCATATTTTTTTTTAAAAGTGCATCTCATGACAGTTCAACCTCACTGGCAAACTTTTACATATATACAAAACCATTTACATTCAGCAGCATACTGTATATGTATTAGACACATGGGGAAGGGATGTTTGTGCAATGTTTTTTATGCATATAAACAAGTTAAATGAGTCTCACATGAACATGTTCGGCTTTTATTTCCACCAGTTTGTGTTTTCCTTTTAGGGAAATCTTATCTGAATGAGCAGCAGCTATTGATGCCGGTGGGCAAAAACACTGTATCTTCTATTATAACAGGGGAATTTAATTTAGCTCTCTAAGAACACAATATGATTCGGAAATTGATTTTCAACAAAACACTTATTTTAACAGTGTGTGAGACAAAGCTAAGTGTTTGCATATTTAACATATTCTTTAAAAAGTAAATAAACACCAACAAGTTCATTAAAAGATATAACATTACCTCTGTGTTAATCAGGAATAACAAATCTATGAATGGATGGACAAAGACGAGGAGAGAGGTTGTCTTAGGATTTGTGTTGAAAGACCTTTTTGTTGGTAAAACTTGTTGAAAAGGAGGATTGGACTTAACCATCGTATTCTCTATCTGTCCCCAGTTGCTGCCGTTGGTCACCATTAGCATCACTCATGGGAGGGTCGACCGAGGAAGTGAACAAGTCCAGAACGTCTGAATATCCCTGTTTGTACACACAGTACCTTTAAAATAGGACTGGGCGATAAAATGATAACAATATATATCAAAAATGAATTTCCCTCAATACCAATACAAAACATTGTCAATATCCTTTTCAAATGTTGGGATTCTGCCATGTTGTGGTAGACTATACGATTAGCCAATAAAAAGGGGAGTTGCTCCGAGTCCGCTTCGTGCTGAACCAATCAAGTGCTGAATCAGAACCAAGTAGCAAACAACTGCAGAGTAGCAGGCTGCAGCTCCACGCAACCAAAGCACTTTAACACGTGAAGCCAACAGCACTGTGAGAAAAAAAGAAAATGAAAAAAAAAGACATTGTCGACAACACTGGCACGAAAACGTCGGTGGTGTGGAGGTATTTTGGTCTTTTGAGGTCGGACATGAAGCAGAGTAATGTGCACTCCAAATTATGTCAAGTACATGTTCTCACAAAGTCGAGGAATACCTCAAACCGTTTTCACCACCTGAAGCACTGCCACGTGGCAGAGCATGTGCAATTTCAAAGGTTACAAACCCCGAGCAGAGCGAGGAGCCCATGGCGCCTGTGCGGCCGAAACAGCCGACCATTCAACAAAACGTCAAAAAGACACAAAAATCTCATAGAGGCGGTAGCTTATTGTATCGCAAAAGACATGCTACCAATAAGCACAGTTAGATTTGATTTTTTATATCGTGATACATAAAAATATCAACTGATGTATCGTGACAAACTTTTTCCCATATCGCCCAGCCCTACTTTAAAATGAACCAAATTTCTGCTTTGTCCTCTCGCTGTGTTCTCATATTGTTACTTCCAAGCTACCTGCCCACCAGCAACAATAGTTGACACTTGGAGAGATGATTCCCTACACAAAAAGCTGACAGTCACGCACTGTTGCGAGTGGGCTTAAATGAGTTAGTAATGAGGCAAGTATATTTGTGCCATAGACTCTTGCTTTGTGAGAATTGTGTAGTGTCCCTTTTCCGTACTGCATTTCAAGCTTCATCCAAAAGCCATGCTGGGTGACTCGACTTGATACTTTGAGATCTCCACTCACAAAGAAGTCAGAAGACACGAAATTATAGTCAGTAAAGTTGAGCTGAATGTGAAAAATATTCTGATTAACTGATTTCAGCGATTTTCCCAGTAAAGTGACCATCCAGCTCATTCTGTCACCATAAGGGAATCTTAAAGAACTCTATTTACTATAAATTAAACAGCTTTACACACCACGCACTGTATTGTAAAAGATAAAAATGTTCACACTCACAATACAAGAAATTGTTGCCCTTGCATGTCTCACTGCCCCAGAGCTGACAGTGTTTTATCATGTCGCAAAAAAAGCCACCCACTAGCCTTACTGTACCCACAATCCAAATAAAACATGAGACACCTTGCTGTGCCACAGAGAGTTTCTCTTTTCTCTGAAGCAGAAAACAGACATTCACCGTTCCTCGAGGACAGTTTCCTGAAATTTCTCTTTTGAACAATACAGACAAGCACAACTGCTGTGCAACCAAAAAGAACGGAGCAGTTTAGATTAAACCAGAAAATAGCCTGTCATGTTCCCGCCTTTGGTCACCAAAACCCATCCCCCCTTTGAGGAAACCTTTCTCTGTACCTCTGTAACAAAGAGGAAAACCAGATTGAAGAACAATTGAATGTGGAAGTGAGGTGCACTGGAATACCTACAACCCCGCACAAGCCCCATTGTGATAAAAGTAAAAACACAAACTGGATATCACTCAAAGACAAACAGTAAATAAACACCCACACAACGCTTTGTATTGACATGAAGCAGCAGAGCTTAAGTCAACAAAGACCTTGTAAAAACACAGAAACCTGAGAGAGGACATGAGCCGGTGTAAATACTTAACTATTATTATTAATAATTCAACACAATGCAGATAAGCCCCCCAGCTTTCCATCTCTATGTTGGCACAACAGTAACAGCTTTATGTAAAGGGGAAGGAGAACTGATCAAACTATAACCCCAAACTGAACAGAAATGCCACTTTAAGCTGCCACTATGTCTCCACAAATGCAAATTTTCAGAGTTCAGTTTAGAGCAAACAAATGTACATTTACTACCAGGGACGAGTGTTCAAGCTATCATTTCAGAGTGGGCTTTTAAAGGTACACTATGCAACTTTAGGCAGAGAAAATAACTATATGGAGTTATGTTTTTAAAACTGGGTTCTTGCTACTTAGGTTATCTATCAGTCAGTTACACTAATTGAAACCATACAAGGGTGTAAATTTTGTAAGATAATAAAATTTGACAACAATCAGTCATTTTAAAATTCCTGATACTGAAATTATTGGTGATGTCTCTTTAAGACCCAATAAAGCACATAAACAAATCATGCTAATTAATTTGTTAGTTTGTCTGTAACCACCGCTGCGGTGTCAGACAAACATGCTGAAAGAATAACGTTTTTTGTTTTGTTTTTTTTTTAATTTTCCATTGCTAATATAAAAAATTAATAATATATTTAAGGGCAGGTTGAAATGTGGAGTCTAGAAAAATTAAATAAGATCACCAACGAGAACCTCTTTGCTCACGTAGCGCTGAAATCGTCTGATACTAAAAAACTCCTCACCAGAGCTTTAATTTTTTTATTAAAGCTTTCAGGAAATAGAGCTTTTTTCCATCCGAGGTCTTTGCGTTGTGTCAGACTATGTGCAGGCTGGAGGAGACATGCTGCACTTTGTGGTGTCAATGATCTGCTGCTGGGAGGCTCCATAATGAGCCCCACTGTGTATTTTTTTTCTCTTTACACGTCAACACTAGTCGTGGGGCCTGATAATGCTCCTCTATGTGCTTGTTCGTTTGTGGAAAGGAAGCATGTGAGCAATGTTAATGTGCACACTTAACCTCTGAACAGCTAACAGGAGGCCCTCGCTTCGTTCATTATAATGTTTTCAACTTATCTTATTTCTGCACGGTCGAAAAACTTTTAAAATCATCACTTTATCGAACTGGAGCAAATGCAGAACCGTGTTTCTTTTGCTTTTTTTAATCATCATGTGAAAACTAAATTCCTCCCTGAACCCCAAAGCTATATGTACCTATGTCACGTTGAATTTCAGCAGCTACATGTTTATCACAGAAATCCCGGTTAATTCCAGCGGACTCGTGGGTGTGTAGCAGTCAGTCCATTAGGTCTTGCCGAATGCTGGTTGAACTGAACACCCTATTCCGCCTGCCCAATCCCCCCTAAATCCTCTGGAGTGCTTTGTGCTATTGGCCGTGCCAGTTCAGAGTGAAAATACTGTGGCTAATGCCGTAGTGCTGTAGCACCTAATATCCCCAAGCTGAGGCAGGCATGGATGATTTATTATTATCTAACGACAGAATTTTAGAGTCAGGAATTGAGGCCAAGGTCGGTGGATTGAATAGGATTTGTGGTCAGTGAAATGTCAGTCTGATCCGGGCATGGAGCCCAAACATGTGAGGATACATGTGTAAAAACAAACACAGCAAGGAAAAAGGCATTCTCACACAAACATACAACAAGTATTCAAACCAGAGATCTCATTCCTATCACAGCACAGAGAATCTGTCGGCATACAAACTCAAGGCTCACATTAGCGTGTGCACGGAAAGAATTCAGATGAATAAAAGCCTGTGCATGCGACAGTCTGCCTGGAAATGTGCATACCTGCTTCTTTTCCTGCTCTCCATACGCCCACAGAGTATTTATACTTAAGAGCAATTTACTGAAATAAGTTTATATCATTTCAAATTGAAAGGTGCTTTTGAGCACAGCTCACTACAGACACAAGTACAAACAATCTTGCTGATATGAATCTTAATGATGGCCCAGATCTGTAAATGGCATCTGATATTAATCTCACCATTGCCAAAACCCTCCTCCTTCAAAATGCAAACTCACAAGTACCAGTTAAAATGGACAACACAACAGCTTCTTGAAAGTGAAACCAAAACATTTGGTGCAGATGTGTCCAGTAATGGATGCTACAAAAATTGGGATGTGGCGTCATGATTGACAGAGTACTCAAGATGTAATATAACAACCTAATCCAAGAGTCACTGAGCCGTCCATGACTCAGTTTTTTATGTGTTTAAAACAGCAGATGAGGCATAATAGCAGTCCTTGACTTTCTTTAGCGCATGCCACGCCTCCACAACATGTCATGAGCATAATCTCAGCGCAGTATTCGTTAGTATTTTGCCGAAAAGTTGTCCCTTGACTGCAAAATACTGTTTATAAAAGGGACAGTTTAAGTTTCCATTCAGCTTGAAACCAGGTGATTTAGAGCTCCCCCTGGTGGCTGGCTGCAGTATAGGTCACACACTCCACCTCCAGGTATTAACAGAGGGGAAAAAAATCCAAACTTCCACAGACATCAGATAATTTTTTTTTTTTAGCATAGTGTCTCTCATTGTAGTTCTTCCAATGCTAACTTAGGTCTGTGTGCTAACTTTTGTAAAAAAAACAAAATTTTGAATTAGTTATTTGATTTAGAAAAGAGTGGATGTGACTTCAGGGAATGATAGATTGATTGCTGCTTTGGTCTGGTGGCTGCACCGCTAGTTGTGGGTAAACAGCTAATGCTACTCGTGCCGTCAGCCGTGGAGGGCTGTGCAGACTTTGCTCGCTTTTTCATGCTTTCCGTATAATCACTCGGGAAGTACTTCTTCAAATGATTAAACAGATTTGTGGTGTTGCCGGTTTTTGAGGGCACCTACTGCTAACATACCCTGCACATCGGCTTAATTGCTCAACTTCACTTTGGAGATACCGGAACCACTGCCACACAACCATCTTTGAATCTTTGAAAGATGACTCAAAGTTGTGTTTGACATCTATTTTGCTTCCTCTGTTTACTTCTTCAGCAACTTACAGAAGTGATCAGAAAAAGCTAGACTCTGATTGGCTGTTGTGACGCACATTTCCGCTATGTTTGATTGAGTAAATATGCTCACAGCTGATCGCCGTGATCAAACTTAAAATTATCATTATTCATGATCATGTAATCTCAGTCCTAGTCTACGGACAATGTTTGCAGTCTCATTTCCCTATAACGTCTGTTTCCATACAAGATCACACTTTTCACAACGTTTTAATGACCCAAGGGAAACATTTACCCTGTATCATCTTGACTTACTTTTCTGGGTTTAACATCTGCAAAGGTTTCTTTATGAAATTTGATCACTCCTGGTGGTTCATGCAATGTTTTGGATGTTGGTGCAACATTCAACTAAGTAACTGGCTTTTCAAAGCTGATCTCAGCCTGTAATATGAGCCCTCCTATCTCCGCCCTTTGATCTGCTAATGTGTTTCCTCTCTTACCTCATACTCCACATACTCCTCCTCCTCCACTTCATAGGAAACCGTCTGGATCTTGACATGTTCGCCGTCTTCCAGCAGCTTTGCCTGGGGATCCTCCGTACCAGGCGTGTCTGCCCCCGCTGTGTTGGACGCCTCCTTCGCCTTCTTCTCCGTGAAGGTGGTCTCGCAGCACTCACTTTTGTACTCCTTAGCCTTGATGCTGCCGCTGTCCTCTTTGTACAGGATGAAGTTGGGCCTGTAGAAAGCCTCCACTGCCAGATGCAGGGAGGTGGCGTCCAAAAGCTGCTGGGATTTTATCTTCCCGTTGGCGTTACAGCTCCCTCCGCTCACTACATTGCCATTCCCCACCTTTCCTACTCCTCCTCCCTCACCTCCTCCTCCTCCTCCTCCTCCTCCTCCTCCAGCAAAGTAATTAATAATGTTCTCCTGGTATTGGTTATTGGGAAAGTCTCCCCCATAACCATTGACCATGTGCTTGCTGTTTTTGTCCAACAACGGGTTCTGCAGCTCACTGAGATTCTCCATAACACTAGGGTTCAGCAGATGAGCGGGTGGAGGTTCTCAGTGACGTTAACTCGTTAGCTGGTACACTGATGAGTGGAATAAGACCAGATGTGCTTCTCAGTGCGACGCTGACGTCAATGAAGGTTTTAGCAGCAATCAGCGGCTGACACTCTGAGATCTGGAGGGGAAACAAGAAGCAACAGAAAAAAAAAGAGTGTTTTCAGAATCAATAGAACAACTTGAGGAAAATGTTATTTGACATAAACCAGCAGGTAACAGTTCACCCAACACATGCTCACAAAAGATCAAAGTTTAGCCGACGCTCCTGCAGCAGCAGCTACAACTTTTCCAGCGTCTCGCCTGTCAAGAACTGCACCCTGCAGATGATTTAATTAAGTTTAATTTGCTTCCTCACTCCAGATACCTGAAGTAACACACAAACACACACATACACTTGCACAACCTTACATACGATTGTAGGGACAGCATTCATAGCACGATCATTTACACTGATATCTGTCTATCTCTATAGCTCTACTGTTCAAGTCTAAGACAGGAACACAATGAATCAGCAGAAGTGTCTTTCACCTGTGAGCTCAGAGGATTCATACTACAGAATTCATGTTGCTTTTATCTGGCCTTGGCTGCTTGTAATCATTTCTTTGTGAACGAAAGGAAAAAAAAGCAAAGAGAAAAATTGAAAAAGAGGACTCATCTGACACATGCTAAGTGCATTTAAACCCTGCAATTTTGGCATTTTGTGATTAATTTCTAGTTAATGATAGATTTTAAAAAGTATCTAATTTCAAAACGATCATTTATTTCTTTTTTAGACCACACTTTTTGGGTGGGAAGTGGCATTTACTACACTCAGGTCTCAGTTGGTGCATGTGCGAATATAAACCCATTAGGGAAACTGTATATCTGCTGTATACATATGAATGCACTCGGGGAACATGCATTGGGCATCTGAAAGCGATAGAAGATGACACCCCAACTGTTTACTTTTCACTGGAAGCTCTTGTATGAATGATTTGGAGACCTGAAACAACTCTACAGCCAAAAAGGGGTCAACGAACCCAAAAAAACCCACACACTTCAGATAGTTTGCTGGACTCTTGAATGGCATTTCGTGACTCATCTCTACTGAATCACGATTGTTTTTAATAATTCAAATATTTATAACTATTACTGACTTACAATCCTTTTTCACTTTTGAAATAAAAGGTTATCAACAAAAATTTGGTCTTCTGCCAATTACTGGATCTTGACCTTTCACTGAACTGGAAACAAAGAAAAAAAACCCAAGACACAAACAGTCTTCTGAACTGGCATTACTACTACCATCTTTGACAGATCTCTTAAAATACTCACACTTACTCAGCAGTAAAGGGATAATGTGTTTTTAGTTTACAATTTTACCACAATCGCTTAACTATTTTCGATACACTTATTACCAGGTAATTACCTAGTAACAACATGAAATTATCTGGTTATTACATGATAACTACTAAGTCAATACTGTCTAGCTACCAGGTAGGTAACCTTCCATCATCATACAAATTTGAAGCCGAATTGCTCTGGTATTTCCAGGATTTTCTCCGCTTCCTGGAACCACCACTTGTGCAGTAGCATTGTACACATTCGGCGGGTGAGTCGCTATGATAATGCTCGGCTCAAACAGCGTATCACCACGCAATCTTCGCACGCCCATAGGCTGCATCGAGTGTCAATCATAGAAAATAAGAACGGCAAATAGCTTTTGAAAATGGAGCTGCACAGAAAAAAAGAAAAAAGAAAAACTAGTCAGTATTGACTGAGAAGTTATCATGTAATTACCAGATAATTCCATGTTGTTACTAGGTAATTACCTGTTAATTACCTGGTAATAAGTGTACCGTAAAAGAAAGGGTTACCCTATTGGCTCACTTAAGGAATAAAGTAGTCACTCTTCAACCTCTGTGTGAGTAACCTGCTTTATTAAAACAGTTACGTGAGCAAATTATTTACTATTTATTGGAAAAGATGGTTATTCCATTAAAGAGAAGTTTATACACAATGTAAACTCCCATGTTAGAATAGCATAACGGATTATAGTTAATAGTTATAACTTGTATTCTAATTGGCTTAAGGGTGATTTATGCATCTTCTCTATTCTTTGGTTGTTCCTGGTCCATAACATCTGCCTATATAGAAATCTTAAATTTTGCAAAAGCTGTACATCAAATGTTGGACTGTGATTTGTGTATTTTTCATCAGAGGTTCAGTTCTTCCATTCTCACTGACTCCCCTCCTTCATTTCCCCTAACGTAGGGTTCATGTTTGCTACACTTTTCATATTTTCTTCCCCATGAATAAAATACGACCCCCGTGCTCCCAGGCTTCTTCGAGCTCAGTAAGCACTGGACAGTCTACAGAGTTTTCATGGTTCCTCCCCCCATCGGACCAAATGCATCTGAATATGCTGACTCTGTTGTTGCACACCAGTGCGCCCTTTGGCCCACGTGTAGCTCCAGGGATTGTACGTTCACGCGGTTCTTGAATTAGTTGGGTACTAACAAATTCTCATGAAAAACTAAAAGAGAACAGGTGCTGAGGTTGCTGTGTACTTAGGATGCTGCAAACTCTGCTGCTTTTCGGAGGAAGGATGGCCTCTGGCGTCTCCCTAGCAGGTATTTTAAGTGTCCTTAAAATACTCCGCCCATGCCTCCTCTAAGTAATAATTTGTTCGAAAGTAGCTACGACCTCCTGGGTGAGGTTGATGAATAATCAAAACTACTTTAAAGGACATGAACCGAATCCACTCTTTCATAAATTTGTACTGCTCTCTATTTATTGCTTCTAACAGGGTGCAAAGACATCTCTTACATAACTCCCCCTGGGGTCCCGGAGTTTTTGAAAAGGCAAAAAGCTTTTTTTATCCAAAGCAAAGTTATACTAGTTGAGTCAAAGAGTATACAAATAACAGTTTAACCTCGATAAATCCCAACTTCATTGATACAGGAGCGCCAAATTATTATCGTTATAAGAAACAGACTGCAAGAGGACAGATACTTTGGAGGGTCTCGGAGCAGATTTGAGATTGAAAAACCATCTGGTCCAAAAGGTGACCAGATGAAGCGGTTTTACATCGCTCATCACAACCCTGCTGTCATGATGTGCGCTCTGGGGTCACAATAAATGTCACTGTAACCTCTTTGGTTCTTTCAAACCAAAAAATAGTGAAGCATGTGCACCCTGAACACCAAGCCCTGTTCACAGCCATGATGCCCTGTTGTAGAGTGTTTTTCCCTTGTAAACAATACATGAGAGATGTGATATTCACGAATGAGCAGGTCTATTGAACAGTAATGGTTCTTCAAGATCTGGCTCCCTGTAAAGAGGCATAAATCCCATCTCTTCAATACATCAAAATGAGCTCAACCTGACTTAATATTTGCCATCAGTAATCAATGTCAACAAACTTTGTATCAATTCACATATTGCACTTCAACTTCTTGCACATTTCTGACTTGTAATATGGTAACGCTGTTGATTCTTCTAGACATGGACCAACCTAGACTCATTAGAAAAGTCATTCATTTACATCAGTATGGTATCTAGCCCTTGATAATGAGTCAGGTATAGGGCTGGGCGATATGGTAAAAAGTTTATCACAATATATTTTTTTTCATATCAGTCGATATCGATATATATCACCATATATAAAAGATTAAATTGAATAGTGCTTATTGGTGTCGGCTCCACATGTTAAAGTGCTATGGTTGCATGTAGCTGCAGCCTGCTACTTCCCAGTTGTTTGCTACTTGGTGCTAATTCAGCACGATTGGTTCAGCACGAAGCGGACCCGGAGCAACTCCCCCTTTCATTGAAAACATGGCAGAATGCTGACTATCGAAAAGCATATTGAGCATGTTTTATATTGATATAGTGGGAAATAAATTATCGATGTTTACCGTTATCTTTTTATAGCCCAGTTCTAATCAGGTATGTTAGCTTAAGCAACATTTTAGCTTTGATTAGCATTCAACCTAGCCTTGCTGGGCCATCCTGTTGCGTGAATTACTTGCCGTTCCTTCCCACAACAGTCTGGACTCCGGCCCATTGGGAGCGTGTATTCCCGATCAGAAAATAACCGGGCCAATCAGAGACCGTGTTTCTACTGTTACCCGGACAACAGGGAAAGGCGGCCCCTGATTGGTCCATGTGTAGATGGTGACGTCTAACGCATGCTGCTGGACTTTTCAAAGCGCCGTTCATTCAGAACGCCATTAATTCTGCAGTCGACTTTGCAGAGTCGGCAGAAATCGTTTATATCCGACGTCTTCTGCGGAACGGCAAGTGATTCACGCAACAGGATGGCCCAGCCAGGCTGCATTCAACCTTGGTTTATGAGTCAGAAAAGACCAATATTTTCATATTAAGAGCATACAAGCACACCAAAGTCAGAGAAATGACTCCCTAACTCTGTAATGGGGACTGTTCAAGGAGCCCTTAAATGCAGCATTTGTCCAAATGAAAGGAACAAACAAGAGGTATCACCTGGTAAATTAGCCCAAGGTTATTTATCTACATGGTAAAGAGCAGTGGTCCCAATTTGGAACCACTTGGCGTGCCCTTTGGTACAGGGAAGCAAAAATAAATCAAAACGGACAAAGCAAAGTGGGCACACTGTGCACCAGCTAATCTGTACCAACAAACTGCATGGTAAAATAAACCAACGTTTCAGAGTGTGTCTTTGCTTGGATAGCGTAGTCAACCATATCAAAGCCTCTCTGATAGATAAGTGTTGTAATGATATGTATAGCACTTCCCTGTTTCCGCCGCTGTACCACTCCACCTCGGTACAAAACCTTTCGAGGTTGACAGCAGATTACTTCTGGTGTCATTACTCTGGGCTGTGCTGAGAATTTTGTTTGCGGTTGTCATGCCACCAAACAAGTTGCTGCATGGTGGTGCAGGGTAGTGCTTTTTTTTAAAGGTAATGGCAATGCAAGTGTGAATAAGCTGTTTTAGCGCAACATGATGTGCAGGACACTTTTAGAGTGAGTGTGGATGAAAGTACCAGAAATAACCACCACTGTGTGTGTGTGTTCATGCATGTGCAACATTTGTTAGAGGGCGTCTGTGATCTGTGCTTGTGTGGCTGCGAGTAAATATACATGTGTACAAGTGGGTGGAAGTGTTTGGGAGAGAAAGACAGTGTTTGGCAGAGACGGAGGAGAGAGAGAGATCATACTTATATGTGATTCTCTGCATGAGTGCGTTTAGACTTTGCTGGTAGACAGCGGCGGCTGGGAGGTATGAAGAGCTGGGAGGTACCGCTGAAAGCAAATGAGGCAGAGCAAACGCTGTTGCGGGGAAAACAATTCAGCGTGACAGAGGCAAAAGAACAAGGCCTGTGTGGCGCAGTGTAGGAGAGCCCAAAGGCGCCTGACAAGGGGGCTAATAGATTAGTGAACAACCTGTAAGCATCCAGGTGAGCGGGGATAAGAATGAGACTTTGCTAACATGCCAGCCATGCTGATACATCCCTGCGCTTCAACCCCATTAGACTCCAGTCAGCACACTTTATTTCCCTGTGTCAGCCCGTTGCCAATCAGCCTCAGACCTCTGACCCTGAAGCTTGGAACGGGTATTATCAACCAGGCCTTGAGGCCAGCGGGCAGGATGCTGCTGAATACTAATGTGTCTTATCTGTCGGCCATGTTTACCCACTCATCCCATTCATTCTCTGTCTCTTGCAGCTTTTTCCTGGATACCGCATACAAGACAACAACAACTTCATCTTCCTGTAATTTCATTTTGAAAGCTCTTGCCGTCTCAAAATTATGCTAAATCAGAGGGCTGCAGGTAGTTATTGATGATCCAGGATGTGGATCCTGCGTGCACTGCAGAAAAAGTCAGAATGCACATTTGTCAGGGAACCTTTCCCCTGGCTTAAGCACATGAAAGTCCAGTGGCAGATTAAGTGACAGAGGATGAAGTGAGTAATGGGCTTAAAACCATATTGACTGATCCTTTTATGGACTATTATCATCAAAGGGGACTGAGTAAAAATGTCATAATCCACTTGAAATTAATCTGAATCCCACTCCTGTGTCAGCACTCGCTGCTGATAGTCTGTCCCCTCGCTGTCCGAACGTCTATCTGTGAAGCTGATAAAACATTAAACCCCAAGCAAAGGAAGCTTCGGCACTCCTCCTCCTCCCTTGGACCCTCGTGTCCTCATCTCCTCGTCTCTTCTCCTGTACCACCACGCTCTTATCACTCGGCTTAGTGTTTTCCACACCTCCGTCAGATGATTCAAAGTGTTCATTGATGTGTAAATCTTTCATTGAAAGTCCCCACCACATGTGTTTGAATAATTCAAGGAGACGTAGCTGTCAGTGGCAGGAATGTAGACTGTGGTTTGTTGTTAGAGAGAGGAAGGCTGGGAAAGTTGTCTTCATTGTCTATTTATGGCAACGCACAGGATTTTGCATTTATCTTTGAAAGTCCCTGTTAATTTGAGATAGATAGATAGATAGATAGATAGATAGATAGATAGATAGGTAGATGTAAAAAAATCTGTTGTTCCAGGTGTTCTACTAAAGCTGTGAGTTTGAAAGCAGCCTCTCCCTGGATGCGGTTTTTCACTCTATTAGGGCTGCAGTTCAATCTGCGATGAGACCTGACATCGCTTGTGCCAACCCAATTGTTGCAGGCAACAGAGAGGTGGGGACTGATAGATGTGTGTGACTTAAGAGTAAGGATCCAGACTCCTTTTTGCACACCTCCTCATTTCGCCAAAGCTCTTAGACCGACAAACCCGTCACCAACTTAAACTTAAACAACATACTTCAGCGTCTAAATGTTAATTAAACTAACTAATCATTCTCACAGTACCGCTCCTTGTCCTCTCTTATTTTGTCTCCTTGCTGTCTTTGTTTACTGGGTGAGAAATGTCCCTGACAGCACTCTCCGGCCACACATGGAGCAGGTTCACACATCTCTGTGCACGGACAAAAAGACACTCCTGACAGTGCAGGGGCACACAGAGTGACTTGATGACTTCATGCCAGCAGCATATCTCCACTCATAACACACACATACACACACGCACACACAAAGAGGTGGAGATGGATTTCTGCTCCGGCGGACGCAGGTGGGAACTGTGCAGAGTTCTTCATCAACAACAGCACAACGCACGCATCACATTGCGACACTTAACTCGAGTAAATCCCATTTAAAACTGAACACTTCGTGCGTAATGTCAAAATATAATCAGATTATCATTTAGACACAACTGATGGTTCGATTTACGCGCGACATTGCATGCAAAACGCGCACAAAAAAACAAGAAAGCTTTGTGTTTTCTTTGTTTAAATTGTGAATTTCTTCCCCTACCTTTGAGTTCCTGGCAATCCAGATGTTTTTTGGAAGATGCAAACACTCGCTTGTTCCTTCCAGTGCATTATGGCTAAGCTGCCGAAGGTGTCGCCCAAGGAAAAAGACATTTTCCCGACTTTCTCATTTTCAAGAAATAGCCAATCATTTCCTAGCGAACAGGTCTCCGCTCGGCAGATAAAAACGCAAACACACGCACATACACACACACGCCGCCGTCACAGCTCGTAATCTCTCTCCTCTATAAATACGAAGGTCTCCCCTCCCCAATAAAGCGTTTACCTTGAGAGTCGACTGAAATGTAGTCGCCTTCGGAAAGTTAAAACAGCCTCAGTGGGAGAAAGAGGGAGAGAGAGAGAGATGCGTCCTGGTGCGGGGAGGTTCAGAAAGAGAGGAGGAGTGAAGTCCGATACGCTTCACGACGCGCGTAAAAAGGAGAAAACAGCTTCTACCCTCCCTGCATGCATGCGTTTACACTCACAGAATACTTCCAGTGTTTGGGAGAGGAGGTTAATCTCAGGATTTCTTTTTTTACACTGCATGTCATCCCCCAGCTCGTCAATTACATCTCACTCTCTAAATCAATTATTTTTAACTGTTCAATAGAGGAGAAGCTACAACTTTGAAGCAGAGGCCAGCATGTGAACAATTAAAATAATACAGAAATTAAAGGTATTATTTAAAAATGCCAAACTGTGACTGAGTCAAATGATGAAAGTATTAAAAACAGAGTTTCGATTACCTTTCTTTTACAGCCTCCACAATTAATCTGAGTGGAACACTGATGTCTGTTGTTTGCTCTCTCATCTGACTAAGTGACCAGCCAACAATAATATCAGAGAAAGCACTTGCTGACATTTTTGTGGCTCTCAAATCGGTCACTTTAACTTCATAAGTGCCCTGAAGGAAAGCCAACACAGTTTAATTCAAGGGGCTGCAAACCCCATTTTCTTAATCAGCTTCTTATTAAGACTTTTATTTTAATGACAGTGAGATTTAAAATCCATCTGTCATGATTAGAAGTAGTCTGATCATGTAACATGAGATTTCTACAAGGTTTGTTTCTGTACCATAGACTGTATAAACTATGGACAACTTCCAACCGCTTGTTTCTCTAGTTATACTGACTTTAGCAATGACCGCGCGATAGCAATACACAGGGGTCTAAGTAGCCATAAACAAACCTCAACCAAAACGCCACTCTATAGCCACAAATAATGCTCAGAACAGCACCTAACTTCATCAACAGGACATATAGGGTCCCAGCCACAGCACTAGCCACCAAACATCTTTTAACTTTGCCTGATTTCTTTAGCAAAGAGACTAAACACAACTCACCCACTCTCTTCCAGCAGTCGTTTGTTTGTAGCGAGACCTCAGGCCAGTCCATTACGGACTACAGCGGGGTGACGCAGCTCAAGGAAGAACATTTATGATCATTTCTTCATGGAAATGCAATCAGACCGAGACGCTAAGGCAGAAGAACTACCGCGTCTGCAGAGCAAAATGATTAATATGGTTATTTTTTCTTCAAGGAAATGATAAAGTTATGATCCTTTTAAGCAAGTTTACAGCGTTTTTTATGCTCACTGCATACTTCTGTGCAGCACTTAGATTTTACAGTGTCACAATCTGGCCACAGGTTGTAGTCAGATTTTCTGCCTATAAACTTCAAAAACAGAGTCGCAGTGATGCAGATAAGTTGAGGTTTGCACCTGATTTTCAGCCTCAGTACATGGAGCGGATGCTTGGTTAGATTTTGACACAGCAAACCTTTTAAGGCTACTGAGAAGTCGTCATTGCAATGAAGACCGAGTGAAGAAATACCAAGCAGTGGTAGCTGCACCTCGCGTGAAACGGCTAATAGCACAGTGGTGGTTTGAGAGTTGCAGAGCCAACCTAAGAAGGAGGAGAGGAGCATGTTGTTGCACCTGATGACCCATCTTTTATCCAGCATTTCACCAGCTGATGACATATTCAGAAGAAAAGCCTGAGTTTCCACTTCCTCCTCTCTTCGTATGACGTGAGCCATCTTTTTTTTTTTTTGTGTAATTTAGGAAAACAAACCTGCGTCCCAAAGAAAACCAAATCTATAAACTCTTTTTAACCCTTACCCGTTTTCAAATACGGTTATCAGTATTAAGAGCTGACGTACATCATCTTTTCTATACAAAAATAGCTCCAGCCTCGTCTTAAATATCTCCTTCCTGCCTTTGTCATGCTAACATTATTAGGTTGCTTATTGTGTACTGCACAACATACAGCCATTGTCACAATAATATGATTAGATAAGCAGATTACTTATAGAGAAATAGAGTTTCTAGGAGACAGTGTTGAAAACATACACAGAGCAAAAACACTTAAATGTGAAAACCCTTAATTTCTGCAAAATGTCATGTTCAGTGTGGACATATTTGGCTTTTTGGGATATTTATAACTTCAATTTGGAGTTAAAATGAGGCAAGACAGTATTGCACAAGGGCGCAAATATTCCCAAGATATCTCCAGAAGAATTTAGACTGATAGGGGAATTCTATTAACGCTGTGTGGAAATGAAAACGGAGGAGTGCAGCAGTTCCCCTCTGCTGTGCTGAAGGACCCCGCTCTGTGAATGTAGTGTCACTTTCACTGCTGTAATTTCACTGGCGTTTATATATTTAGAAAAGTGATGTGATTATAATAAGCCTGGCTTGACGTCACAACATTGCTATGATTTAATGTGGAAGAAAATTACAGTGTGTGTACGTATTTTGATGCTAATATATGAGAAATGTAAATATCCTGTGATCAAAGAGCTGTTACTCTTAAATAGGTCAGGTTTGTGCTTGCTTTTGAAAGGTTAGGACAGCCCTGACTGGGTTAATGTGAAGTTCAAGTACCTCATTTAAGTGAATGAACTTCAAAGGTAGCAGGAATCAGGCCTAAAATCCTCCTATCATCTGGGATCTAAAGTTCCTCTGGCGGCTCGTAAGCAGAGCCCTGACCACTATCTTGTCATTTTGAGCTTTCATGAAAAGGCATCCGCGTTTCGCAGCGAGTGATCCGTGCAACTGACACTTCCCCTTCCTTTCAAGTACAACGTAACGCGCTCTCGGCGTTTGAACTTGGCCCCTACAGGTAAGCAATGCGAGAAAAAGGTCAGCAAACAGCCAGAGAGTGATAGTGTCAGACATGGTCCTGTAGCTGCAGCGATCATTTTTGGAGGATGACCGGGGGAAGGATACAGGGGAGAAAGGAGGCTGAGCACAAAGGGAGGTGGCTCTGACAGGCTGTGTAATAGCCAAACACTGATCACACCTCCATTTCAACATTTTCCCCATACGCTGCCTGTTCCTGCCCAGCAGAGGTGCCTCCCTGCCTCTCAATGCTTCTGGGTTTTTTTCTCATATTGTCGTCTCTTGTCCTTTTTTTCCCTAACTCAATATCACCGCAATCATATCTGACAAATAGATTCCGATCCAGTGGCCGGCTGCACTCTGGACCTCATCAGAAACCCATCAATCATAAATATCACACACAGCTTCTTTGTTTTGTGGTTCTGAACTCAGCTTGACCACAGAATTTAGCCGAATCCTCCCCCCTGCGTTTCAGAGGAGGTCATCCAGCTCACCGGGTCTGCCTTGCATCACAGATGAGCCGCGAGATCCAATTTGTTTGTGCTGAGATGACTCCAATTCCTTTGCCACAGAACATTAAGGCTGCAAATTAATATCCTTGGGCTCAGCGGCTCACAGCTCCGTTTGGAGACAGGAGACAGGCACACTGGGAAAATGGCAGACGCATGGAGAGAATTCTTGAACACCTGAGGTACCTTGTCTTTCTAAGCCTTTTGTCTCTCCTCCACCTGCTCTTTTTCTCGATTTTTCCCACATGGTTTCATCTTTTTTACCTTAATAGACCTCCACCCATAGAGATTAGACGATAGAGGGCTCGTCTAGAGTGTCGTGCTCAGAGTTACAACATCTGCAGCCAGTCACCTCTCGGCACACAGGGACTATCACAAGGGAATACAAATGTGAAATAACGTGGGGAAAGTTTGGTGGGGCCGTCCTCTTCAGCTGGGCCAGAGATCCAACTATTACAGATGCTTAATGGTCACTGCTGGTTAAAGCTATACATTATTCAGTGTTTGTATTGAATGCATTAAGTGTTCTATATTTCTGGAAGGTATGTTGTATTGATTTTCCCATTTCCTCCTTGTAAACATGCATTTGTGTTGACATAAAAGGTCCTCAAATCATGCATGAATTGAATACACCATAAACGAACTCCCAGCAGGACAAATGTGCGAAGTACTAGAGAGGCTTACAGTCTGCTTTAGTTTCAATATTGATTGTTTTATTTAAAATATGATGCATGCAATTAATATAACAGTTGGCTTGCTCTGTGGTGTATATATCGGATTATTATGTATTGTGTTTGGTACATCTATTGATTCATTTAAAGGTAAGTTTTAATTAAAAATATGGCATATTAATTTCTTGCTGCAAATTAGATGAGAAAATAAATATCTATATGAAGTGAGTGTAGTACATATGATGCCATGAAGAACTGGTCTTGTTCGCTTTTTTAAAACATTTAAAGTAGGAGTCCCGATACGATATTGATATCAACAAAAAATCTAAATCGGATTGTATTAGCCTGCATCTAAAATCTCCGAAATCAGCACTCAGATACAAGCAGTCCATTCCAGATTCCGCTCCAGCACCTCTATCTAGCAGCACCCGGATCCAGCATGTAGAGCCCATGTAATGACAACAACAGTGTGCACTAAGGTACTAACAAAGTACCAAGGAGAAGGAGTGATGTCGGCCCTGTGGCAGTATTTTTCATCAAAGTCCGAAAAATATGCTGCAGCTGAGTGCAAAACTTGTCATGCACAAGTTTGTGCTAATATCGGATCACTATTGGTATCGGGCAATATTGAAGGCTACAATATTGGTATCGTATCGGAGGTAAAAAAAAAAAAAAGTTGTATCAGGACACCCCTTATTAAAAGCCATCAACATTAATTCCAATCAGCTAGCTACAGTGATCGACTCGACCATAACACGCCATGCTGCTGTTGCCGACCCTAGTTAAGACTGTTTGTATGATTATTTTGTGCGTTTGTACCTCAATTGAGAGGATTTGTTGTCACCGTACAACTAAGGCCTCAAATCAATATCACAATACATTGAACAGTTCACCTCGATAACAAGCAGCTCACACCCTCCCACATTTACTTTGTCTACTTCAGCCACCGCTCCAGCCACTACAACTTTTGAACTGTCCCTCATCTCCTCACCTGCAGCCAGTAGTCCCTTTAAGAGGCTGACGTAGGACAGCCTCTTAAAGGGACATGAGACCATAGCCTAATTAAACACATCCAAAACCAACTTTTATTTATTATTTTTTTGACACCGAGTATATTGACATAGGGAAAAAGACGTCATTTATTGTTGTAAAT